CCAACAAAGCATCTGAGCACCTACTTCAGGATGAAGAGGATAAACAGATTCTCAAAAATGTGTTCTTTAGAGATTAAATATAATCAACAATACTGTTTTCAAATCATTTTTAATAAACTATTTTTAAGAGCTTGGAAACAAATAATGAGTCCTCTGATATCAAGATAGTACAAATTAAGAGTCTGAGATTAGAGCTATCAAAGATAAGTGAAGTAATGTGAGGAATGGGATTTACTGTACTTTATTTTTTAATTCCTTTTTATCCAGAAGATTGTTGTAAGAATAAAATGATATGATGTAAAGTAAATAGCACAGTGCTTGGCACGTGGTAAATGCTCAACAGATGTTATTAATCTGGTTCAAACTTGAAGTGAAATTGACAATGTTTTCAAGTTAACTTAAAACTTTGCAAACGTTAAAGTTTCAAGTTAACTTAAAACTTTGCAAACGTTAAAGCATATAGATTTCTAAAGATATAACCACGACTCTCATAGAAATATAATATTAATACATGTTAGAGATTGTATTTAACTATTTAATTAATGAAAGGACCAGGAAGATGTTACAACTGTTTCAAAGGAGAATTCAAACATCAGATACACACATATGCTATATAGAATGAATTTATAAATAAATGCAAAAATGGCTTTTACTGAAACTATCGATCTCCCTAAGAACATATTTCATTTGCATATCTATACATAAAAATCATTTGCATCGATATCAGTTACCTGCAATTTACAGAGTTTTAAAATAGCTCTACTACACCAAAAGCCACAAACACCATAGAATCCCATAGCCCAGAATGATGTCAATTTTCTATGGAAGACACCCAGTAATCCTTTTAATCCATGTCGAAATCTTTTACAATTTTTCTTGACACATGGATCTTAAACAGAAGCATTTTGCTGAATTAAACCTGTTCTCCTTTAAGATAAACTCTTCCCTGATTATAACATTATATATTCAAATTATAAAGCACTTAGATAATAAAGAAAATAAAAATCTTCATAATCCTATCACTCTGAGGCGATTACTGTTAATGCTTAAAGTATATTCATCCGGTTTTTTCTATGTATTTGTGTGTGCATGAATGGAAATATATTAACTGTTTGCAACCCAGTTTTAATAAACTTGTTATAGAAAGTTATCTATATATATCTAATTGGGTTTATATATTCCACATTGTAATTCACTTTTTTCCTTAAGATCATAAACATTTTTCCTTGTCATCATTTTTAATAGCTACAAAATATTCCATTATATGTTAGAACCATAATTAATAAATCCACCACTATTAGAAACTTAGGTTGTAACCAATTTTTAGTTATTATAAATAAAACAATGCACCTGTCTTCTGACAACCTTTTTCTTGAAGTGGTACCATTTTGCTGAAAAAGCCAAACATCTCATAAACATAGTGAATTACATGTAATTACATGTAAAAGAGAATTACAATGAAACTCAATGTCCGAGTTTCCAGAGGATGTTGCAATCTCTAGAGTGCCTGATGGCACCTCTTCTGCTTTAGCTCACAAGCCTACCTATTGCATCAGTGGCAGACGGGGATTTGAATTAGAACCGGAATTCTCAGCTACCCAGAACCACCACTCTTGTCACTTTCCTGAGACACCATGAAGATTTAGTCACGTTTGGAAGTTTAAAATAAAAACTAAGATCATCATGAGCTTTGACAGTCAAGGCCATTTAATCCGAGATAAGTTTTAATACAAACATGTCTATAAGGGAAAAAGTACATTATTTAGGGCTTAGTTTCTTAGAATGAAGAGCCTGAGGAATGGAGAAAATAGCTTTCAGGTGGGTAACAAATTGTCAAATTTTTTTCTTGATTTTCAAACCTTGAATTTTATTTGATTAGAAACAGTAACATATCATTAGTAGCATGACATGAAACAACTGGCTCTTCTCATAAGAATATCAGATTCAAGGAGAGGGTATAGCTCAGAGGGAGAGCACTAGACTGCAGATCAAGAATATCAGCTTCAGTTCAGCTGTCTTCATTTTAAAGATTTGAAAAGGGTCAAGAGAAAGGAAATTATTAAAATGTAAGAGAAGGTATCCAAAGCCCTACAAGCTACTATTTAAAGGAAGTGGTTGTTGAACTTGACTCAGAGTAGGTGCTTAATATTTGCTGAATAGTAGAGATAAGAAAAAATTGACAATTAGCTGTGTGATTTTCAGGGGGATGGGAATCACTTAAGCTAGTGCCTTCATTTTAATTTGTGACGTCTACCACCTTTTCCAACTATTCAATGATAATGTAAGAAAAACACTGACCATTTTATTCTCTTTCGATAGAGAATGGACTTCCCCATCAAAAAGGCTTCAACTGGAGCCACAGAGTTTGATTTGGACTAAGAAAAATACTTTTATAATAATGGTCAGATAATTGCAACAAGCTGCAGAGGGGACTTGTAGAAACTATATCCATAGAAACCTCAAAAAATAGTATAAACAAGGACAGTATAGGCATCCCATAGAAATAAAACCTCTTTCAAAAAACAGAAGGTAGACCAGATTTGATATTCAGGTCTTCCCTAGCTCTAGAAGGAAATGGAGTAGATTTTTGCATGTATACAATAAATTGCTGGTTTCTCTAAAATAGATGCAATGGTAGATTGAAGCTTGCTACCTACTGCTCAAATGAAAAGTACATATGATGTAAAATCAGGCAATAATAATCTGGCAACATTAGTGTACCTACCATGTGCCAACCATGACTCAGGTAGACAATACCAACTTGGCCACTGTCAGAGACAGAACACTCAATGGGATGGATGGTAGGACTGAGATAACGTGATAATTCTCTTGGTGTTATATTCCTTCTTGCCACTTCTGGAAAAATCCAAGTCACAGAAACTACCCCACGGTGTTGATTCCTCCCAATAGTGACACAGAATCTCACTATTTCTTTGGTATGCCTCGTCACTCTTTAGTGTTCAGCACTGTTTACTATTCAGTCCATTCCATTCAACTTTTAAATATATATTATTTGTCAGGCACTTTACAAAGCACAAGAAATACCAAAAGCACTTGTGCTGCTGACTGATCCCTAGATTCTGTAAATGAACAGGTCTTCTCTCACTTCTTCTCATACTCCCTCATGCAAAATACCTTACCATGTAAAAAGGATAGTCACGTTTCCCTTCACATAGAATCTAAGCATGGCTATGTAGTTTTTTTTTTTAAACACAGGGTATGGGAAAAAATAAAATCTAGCACAGGACAGGGACAAGTAATAATAACATAAATATGCTGACTCCTTGATTCTAACAACCAAACTATAAGATGGAAATCCTGTTTTGCTTAAAATTTCTATCCATACCATCGATTTTTTGCTTCCAATGCAGCACATAAACCCCCACTTTCGATACTTAGGAGAGTTACCTAAGTATGATAGCATTTCTTTCAAAACAAAGTTTAAGGGAATACAGAAAAGGTGAAACAGGGATAGTGAGCATTTCTCAGAAGCAGCAAATTCATGGTGGAAATTGGCCTCTTACCTTCAAAGAACTGCTGCAGGGCCTCATTTTCGCCTACCACATCCATGGTGCTGTGGTCCTAGTACTAGTTCCTCGTAAAACAATGGTTATCAGACCTCAGGAAGTAAGTACTGTCCTTTTGATTCGAAGCCTACGAATGCTCTTGAAAAATCATTTTCTTTTTATTGGAGCGAAGCATATCTTCGGCCATCAAATTGTGCCCAGAAAGACGGTTGAGTTTTCAAATGTGATTATAAAACTGGAAGGATATGCAACCATGCATTTTTAAAAAAATTCATGAAGAGGGAAGAGGTAGCAAATTCATCTCTCTTAATATAGGGAACTGTTTCTACTCTGCTTTTCGTCTTTAAGGACCTTTGTCCTTAGTGACACATGTAATTACATAAATGGGCAATAAATACATAGTCTTATCTCTTATTTGTCCTTTTACACCAATATATTTATATCTCCACCTTTATCAACTAGATCCATTTAGCTACCACTAATAAAAGATACTTATTTTTTTAACCTAGAAAAAAGGGATAAATCAATATAATTACTTTTGATACCTATAATCATAGGTAATTTTAAAAGTCTTGTGCTAATGAAAAGTTAGAATTTCTTAAGTATTTCCAAATTTACAGCAAAAACTTAAATTCCTTAATACATACCTGCTCCATTTCCTCTAGAGCTTATTTGCTTCCAAAGTATAAACCATAAAGTATGAGAAGTCTCTCTAACAAGCAACAAAAACTGCATTACCAATTTAATAATTCTTATAGCTGAGTCACTAGTAGCTGGATTCATTCCTAAATATAAAACCATACCCAAATAAATGTTTTGTTTTCACTGCTTAGCTTTGATTCATTTAATAATAGCCTAAGAAAATACAATTAGGAAATTAAATTATCCATTCAGCCCCTTCCTTTTCTCTTTTTCCCAACTTTCTATTTGGAAAAAAAATAGAATAGTACCATAAAATATCTATATACTCTTCACCTACACTTACCAATTACTGACTCTGGTAGCAGTGGATATGGATATGTGTGTGGATATGGATGTGTGATATATATATAAACATATATAATTATATATATCTATAAATATATATGTAATTATATATAAATATATATGTAATTATATATTTATTTTTTATTTTAATAAAAAATATATTTATATATATTTTTATATATAAATATTTATTTTATATATATAATTATATATATATTTCAAAAAAACAGAAGGTAGACCAGATTTGATATTGATATGGAGAGAGAGATATGTATCTCCATATCCTTCCTTTGGCTGAACCACTTGAAAATAAGTTGGTGACATCTTGACACGTCACCCTTAAATAACCCAGTATGTGTCCCAACAATAAGGACATTTTCCCACACAATCACAATTATCATTATTATACCAAAGAAATGTAATATTATCATCTCATATATAATTTTTGTATGCCTAGTATGGTGCAAGAGGAGATTCGAAAACAGGTTGAAGAAGAATGGTGGTAGTTTATTTCTAATTTTTATGGATACATAATAGTCGTACATATTTATGTACCCTTAAATAACTCAGTATGTGTCCCAACAATAAGGACATTTTCCCACACAATCACAATATCATTATTATACCAAAGAAATGTAATATTATCATCTCATATATAATTTCTTCCAGTCTCCCAAATATTTTTTATGGTGTTTGATTTCTGATTAAGGATCCAATGGATGTCCATGCACTGCCTTTGGTTATGTCTTTTAAAATATAGAACAGTCCCCTTGTCATTTTGATTTGTGCTCTTTATGATTTTGACTTTTTTCTATAGTCCAGGCTCATTGCCTTGTAGAATAAGCCATTTTCCAAATTTGTCTATTGTTTCATTATTAGAATTAGTGAGTGACATAATTCCAAATATATATTTTAAAATTTTACACACATATACTGTTACTTGAAAAATGAGCAAACTAAGTTTAGCTTAGAAAAGAAAAGGTTTAGGAGCTTCTTTTGACGGTCACACTGGCCCTCAGATCTGTAAGTGAAATCATCAAGTTGTTTAAAGAAATGAATTTTCAACAATTGTGTGAAGCTGTCTGCTGGGTGCAGGAAATAAAAAGATGAATAAATAATAGTCCCTGCCCTCCATAAACTGAAATCTAGGGCATGAGAAAAACACAAGTGACTGTAACTCAGGGCAGACTGATAGCTGGGAAGATGTCTCAAGAGAACAGAGAAAGGAGAGTAATTGAATCTGGGAGGATCTGGAAAGGTGCCACAAAGAGCTAGGATGTGAATACACTTAAACAGTGGGTAGGTGTTCTTTTTTTAATTTTATTTTTTTAAATTAACAAATAATAATTGCCCATATTCATAGGGTACACAATGATACTTCCATACATATAACGTGTAGTGATCAGATCAGGGTAATTAGCATATCCATCATCTCAAACATTTATCATTTCTTTATGTTGGAAGCATTCAACATCCTCCTTCCAGCTATTTGAAACTACACATTATTGTTAACTACAGTCATCCTACAGTGGTACAGGATATATAAAACAATAGGTATGTTTCTTAAAACATGAGCAATGGCTGGGAAGACAGAGAGAGCACAGGTACAGAGATTGTATGCCTAGTATGGTGCGAGAGGAGATTGGAAAACAGCCTGAAGAAGAATGGTGGTAGTTTATTTCTAATTTTTATGGATACATAATAGTTGTACATATTTATGGGGTACATATATTTTGATACAAACATACAATGTGTAATAATCAAATCAGGGTAATTGGGGTACCCATCACCTCAAACATTTATCATTTGTGTTGGGAAGATTCCAAATCCACTCCTTTATTGTGAAATATATAATAAATTATTGTTAACTGTATTTACTCTGTTGTGCTACCAAACACTGGACCATATTCCTTCTATATATTTTTGCACCCATTATCCAACTCCTCTTTATCCTCCCATCCCGCAACCCCCATTACCCTTCCCAACCTCTGCTATCCTCTGTTGTATTCACTACCTATAGTGGTAGATTCTGAATGTAATTTGATTCCATGCATATTCATTCTAAGTGTATTTATTGCCAGTTTCTATCTGGGTGGGTGTGAGGCATGATACAATCCCATTTAACTTAGAGAGATCTCTGTGGCTGAATGTGTTGGCTGGGGCAATAACCAAAGTTTAAGCATTTTAAGAAGCTACTGCAAAATCCAGGTAGGCTGTAGTAAAGCCTGAAGTAAGGTGACGTAGAACAAAGCACTAGTTACTGGCTGGATGTAGGGAGCAAGGATGAAGTCAAATGTTTTTTTAAAGGATTTATATGCCTGTAGGTAAAATGTGAATTAAGATGCCTAAAACATGTAGCCTCTGGCTAACCCTAGACTCCAAGAGAAGCTCCCAGCCAAGTCTCCTGGAGGCCACCGGAAATAAGTCATCACACCATAATCCACTGCCAAGTAATGATTCTGGATCCCATCCACCAATTCACCCACAGACTTCATGTTCTCAGCAGCACAGTGGTGTGACAGGAAGCATACTAGACATGAGATTTCATTTAATGGCCTGAGAAGCTAAGGGCAGAATTGGGGTTCCAAACTGAAATACTTCCAAGGCCTGCCAGATAAGTGAGTCAAGTACGTCCCTTAACCTTGGTGTTAAGGAGACAATCCAGGGTGGTGGGCCATAGAGCAAACCCGGGAGTGCATACCCTGAGCAAGGGTGTAGCCACCCGACAGGTAGAGTCACTCAACTTCACCCAAGTGTTGTCATTCAAGAATGTGGGCTCAGTGTTGTCAAAACAGCACATTTTAAAAGAGCAGCTTGATATGCAGATTTTAGATTTCCTCATTTTTAAATGCTGGCAGTTGTTTAAAACCAAGATGGACAAACAGAAAAATAAACCAAAACACTGTCAAGGACAAATAGCACATTGTATGAAAACACAATGGAGCCCACAAGATGCAACCTTGGTGCGGAGATCTGCGGAAAGTGAAGAGAATTGAGAAGGAAGTTGTTGGGAGGACTAGAAAATCTATTAATCAGAGTCCAGAGCACTCCGCTAAGAGCACAATCCAGCTGGCGGAAATGGGATTTAAGTGGAAATTCCTCCCTCTCAGTGAATAACAAATATGATGCGTATTTCCCTGATTACGGTCTTTACGTCCCTTACATTTTCCAACTCTCTTGATATCCCCATTTTGCAGATTCGGTAGAGAATCATCCTCTTGAATAGTAATCTAGTTTAGTTGTGGTTTCGGTTTGCTTTGGTATTGACATTTCCTAGAGAGCTCCAATAGACAAACAGATAAAAGCTGACCTGCTGCAGTTAAGTCTGGGGATGTGGTGATGGGATCCCTGTATCCCTCTTGAGACTGTCCCTGAGACCTGTAGCTCTAGAATCTAATCCTCATGACCTCTGACGTTCCTCCAGAAGTAAACTGTGTGTGAACTTGTGCTCCCTTGAGAAGCTGCCTTGAGGAAGGGTTTCAATTCTTCTAATATTTTAGCAAGTTTACTCCTCTTCTTTTTTTTTTTTTTAGTTTTGCAAATTTTCATGAAGTTTTTAAAAGTTGACTTAATTTGTTATTTCTCTGTTAACAACTACCACTATGAAAACTTGACTCTATTGAGTTTGGGTTTTCTTTTCTTTTTTTTTTTTTTTTTTGAGACGGAGTTTCACTCTTGGTTGCCCAGGTGGAGTGCAATGGTGCGATCTCTACTCACCACAACCTCTGCCTCCCGGGTTCAAGTGATTCTCTTGCCTTAGCCTCTCAAGTAGCTGGGATTACAGGCAAGTGCCATCACACCTGGCTAATTTTGTGTTTTTAGTAGAGACAGGGTTTCTCCATTTTGCTCACGCTGGTCTCGAACTCCCAACCTCAGGGGATCCGCCCGCCTCGGCCAAAGTGCTGCGATTACAGGCATGAGCCACTGCCCCTGGCCAGTTTGCTTTTTTTTTTTTTCTAAATGCAATGGGAAGCCACTAAAAGGGCTTTAAGCAGGAAAGTGACATTATCTGGTTTTCATTTTATAAAGATCCCTGTGGCTGCCGTCAGTGATTGTAGGAGGGCAGGAGTGGATGCAAGGACAGCAGACATTAGTGCAGGAGTTCAGGTAAAAGATGGTAATAGCTTGGACAGAGTGGTAGCAGTGGACATGGAGGGAAGTGGACAGATTCAAGATGTCTCGGAGACAGCTGATGGAATTTGCTGACAACTAGATTAGGAGTGACAATGACAAATAAAGGAACCTAGAATAAGACCCAGAATTTTGCTTAAGCAACTGAGAATTCAGCCATGGCAGATTTGTTAAGCACAAAAGTTAAACACAAATGCAAATTCATATAGCATTGGACTCTCTTAAGCAGTGTCTTATAGGAAAAACATTTTATCTAGGGAAAAATGCAACAACAAAAACCTTTGAAAACAAAAGCCTATGAACAAAAGCAGACCTGTTTTAGGCTCTGGATGCACAAAACAAACACACAGAATTCTTGTGCTGGCGATGGGAGGAAGTGAAGAGGTAACAGGTTGCAAGTTATTTTAAGGACTAAGACCCAATATTCAGATACCAAATCTTGTTCTTCCAGTGTGGATGCTTAGTCAAAGACTGTAAATTGTCTTCAAGCTGAGAGAAACCATGAAGAAAGAGGAGTGGCGACCTACTTGACCTTCCGTTTTTGGGAGCCAAACCTAGACCACAATGTAGGTCTGAGTGACTCCCAATCCAGAACTGTCTCCATTAGGCCAGGCTCTCACCCCAGCTCCAAACCAATTTCTAAAAACTTGTCCAAGAGTCTTCCTCTTCTTTAGAATTGGTAATCTTGGCAATTAAATTCAGTGTAGAAACACTCTCCTGAACATAATCAGCATGCTGGTTCTTCCATTTCTGTTGCCTTGCTCTTCCTAACAGCTCCTCCTTTCATCTTTGCAGGCTTCTTCTCGGCCATAGGAACTCAGGGCTCAGTGCTGTACTTCATCTCCAAAGTGTATCTAAAGCGCCCATCTGATCCCATGGCTAACTACTCCCCAGATTATCTCCTGGACTGACCTTACTGAATTTAGACTTGTATATCCAATACCTACTTAACATATCCACTTTGATGCTCAGTGGGCACCTCACACTTGATGTGTCAAACACTGAATTTCTGTCTCTGTTATGCACGTAACCAAACTTTCCCCCACCATGTATTTCCCCTTCTCAATAAACTGCAATAGCTCAAGTCAAAAGCCTAAGATTCAGACCTGAATTCTTTCCTTTCCTCTCTCTCAAATCCAATTCATCAACAATCTTGTTACCTTTTTTGTTTTGGAATGAAGGCACATATAACTGGGCTAATAATAATGCTTGATTCATAATTAATCACCGATGTTCCATGCATAACTCTCTTATTCATTTGTCATGCATTTATTTTATTTTTGAATTTTTTTTAGAGACGGGCATGGTCTCACTACGTTGCCCAGGTTGGAATATAGTAGCTATCACAGGTGAAATCACAGCACACTACAGCCTTGAACTCCTGGCCTCAAGGGATCTTCCCATCTCAGACTCCCAAGTAGCTGGGACTATAGGCACCCACCACTACACCCAGCTCATGTACTTACTTTTAATGACAAATGAACCACCCCAAAACCCACCACCTCACCCACGGACTAAAACACTACCAGTGACTTACTCATAGATTTGTTCCTCCTCTATCTCTCCCACACCCAGAGGTAACACTATCTTGAACTTTATTACTACTTTTTAAAAGTTTTGTCACGTATGACAATGCCTAAACAGCTGTTCAGTTTTAGTTGTTCTCGACTTTTATGAGAAAAGTATGTTATATATAGTTTTCTCAGAAATGCTTTTTCGTTCTGAGTTATTGTGCTGCAACTAGCTGGTATTCATTCATTTTGCGGCCATGTAATCGTCATTCATTCTGTGAACACATTACACCTTCCTACAAATGGACGTTTTAATTTATTCCAGAACATTCTTACATGTGTCATCTGGGGGACTTTGTGCAAGCATTTCTCAAGCATATACTGAGAAGTGAAATAGCTGACCCATGGGTATACACTTTTTTTTTTTAAGATATTATCTTACTCTGTGACCCAGGATAGAGTGCAGTGGCACAATCATGATTCACTGCAGCCTCAACCTCCTGGGCTTAAGCAATCCTCCCACCTCAGCTTCCCAAGTAGCTAGGACCACAGGCATGCACCACCATGCCCAGCTAATAAAAAAAAGTTTTATACAGATGTGGTCTCCCTGTGTTGCCCAAGCTGATCTTGAACTCTTGGGCTCAAGTGATCCTCCTACCTCAGCCTCCCAAAGAAGAGGCATGAGCCACTGGGCCTAGCCCAACTTTTCTAGTTAACAGTTTTTCACAGTAGATATACCAATTGATAATCCCACCCCCATCAGCAATATGTGAGTGATCCTATTAACTAAAACCCTCTCCAAAACTTGACTTGTTTCATTTTTGCCAATCGAATGAATTTGAACATGTCATTGTCATCTTGATTTACATTTTCCTGATTGAGAGATGAAAATCCTCTTAATATGCTTATTGGCCAATATGCACTTCTAACTGTGTGGAAGGCCTGGTTCAGTCTTCTGCCTATTTTTCTGTGACACTGTCCTTTTTTGTTCGTTTGTAGAATTTCTGTATACATTCTTTATACTAAGCTATTACTGGTTATAAATGTTGCAGATATCACTTCACAGTTTGTAGTTTGGCTTTATTTTTTTTGAGAGACAAGGTCTCCTTATGTTGCCCAAGTTGGACTTGAACTCCTGGGCTCAAGCAATCTTCCCACCTCATCCTCCCAAGTTGATGGACACAATGTGTGTGTGTGTGTGTGTGTGTAACGGAGTCTCCCTATTTTGTGTGTGTGTGTGTGTAACGGAGTCTCCCTATTTTTGTGTGTGTGTGTGTGTAACGGAGTCTATTTTGTGTGTGTGTATAACGGAGTCTATTTTGTGTGTGTGTGTGTATGGAAACGGAGTCTCCCTATTTTGTGTGTGTGTGTGGAAACGGAGTCTCCCTATTTTGCCCAGGTCCGTCTCGAACTCCTGGGCTCAAGCGGCTCAAGTAATCCTTCTGCCTCTGACTCCCAAAGTGCTGGGATTACAGATATGAGACACAATGCCTAACCACGGATGCACAATTTCTAAATTAAGAATTTATAAGATAGCGTAACTTATTTTCTTTTATAGTTATCTTCTATGTTTTTGTTTTCTGCTTCCAGTTTAAGAAGTTCTTCCTAAAAGGAGTAGGATCAGGAAGATAATCACTTACATTTTCTAAATATATTTCAATTACATTTTAATCTATAATTCCACATATATTTTCTACAACAAGTCATCATCCTGTTGCATTAATTTTAAAGAGCATGTTTCTAGTGCATAAGGTTGAAAAGCATTCTTCCCCTTATAGATTACTAAAGATTTATTATTAATGGGTATAATGATTTTCTTTAGTCTTACTTTTTATTTATCCTTTTTCAGTCATCCACAAACTTTTTCTGAGTATTTGATTACCTTTCTTTCAAATCTCTCACAGCATCTCCTGGATTTGTTTCTCTTTTTATTTGGGTACTTTCTCCAAAAGCGGTTTTAGTTTGTATAGGAAAATCTTCTGAAGCTTTGATGGTACATATTCTTATTAATGCCCTCACATTAGAATAACTATTTTCAGAACATAAAATTCTAGGTTCAAAGTTTTTTTCATGTTCAATTTCACATTCTTGAGCTGGGCGTGGTAATGATGGTTTTTACCATAACATATTCCAATGTCCTTTTGTCTGTGGGCTCCCACCCAACCTGGTGGCCGAAGTCATCTACAGGTAAGATTGACCAAACCTCTAAACAGAACTGAAAAAAATGTTATCTTCAGAAAACCAGCTCTCTTATACACTGCTGCTGTGAATACACATTGATTAACTTTTCTGGATGGCAATCTAGCAACACAGATCAAACATTTAAAAATACATATATATACACATATAAATACACATATATATATATCGACACAACAATTTTATCCCCAGGCATCCACATGAAAGAACTCAACTGTTCAAAAGTGCACAGATAAGGATACTCGTCAAGCATTATAATATGAAAAATAAACTGAAAACCACCTCATCTCCAAACACAATTAAATTATGTTAAAATTCTATAAACAGGGATTAGGATGTGTAGGTTTACCCAAAGGAAAATGTATTTAATGTTTAGGTTTAAAAAGAAAAAAAAAAAAGCCTACTTTTTGTTTCAAAAATATGCATATGTAAGTAGAAAATATCTGAAAGCTGAAAGGCTACTCTCCAAAAATATTAACAGCAGCTTTCTCTAAACAGAGACTAAAGTGGTTTCTCATTTTTTGTTTTTGCTGTTCTATACTTATTATATTTCTACCACAAACCTCTTGTTATAATTTCTCCAGTAGAGTCAGTTTTACAATTTGGAATGCAGAGGTCAAGTGGTTCTATGATCAGTGTATACTTTACATGTACCATTCTTTCAACCTACACCCCTTTAAACCCCTTTGACACACATCAAACTCATTTACGTCTATGTCCCTCCAACGTCAATATAGTGGTTAACACATATAAAACATGAATACACTACATCAAGACGCTCAGGAATACATCTCTGGGATACAATTTGACTGCCTTCTATTATAGTTTAATGAATCACCAAAATAAAGGGATTCTTTCAATTACAGAGAGCAGAATAATTAAAATGGTAACTTTCAAACTTTGTAGCAGCAGAAGTATTTCTTCAAATATAATCTTTTTGAAACCCAATATAGAAAACAGACAAAAATAAAGCCATTCTAGAGGTGGGGGCCTTGGAAAGTGAGTGCTGTCCACTCAGACATCTTCTTTGCCTCTCACAAGGAAGGAAGCTACTGTCTAGTTTGAAAATTACTATTTAATACATTCTGCTAACCCTAAATGCCATGTCAGAGCTAGAAGAGAAAATGTACACACATTCAATCTAACATTTATTTATTTCAGGGTTTTTGTTTTTGCAACTATAAATTACATTCACTAGTACACCTGTAATCCTTCATAGTGTATTCAACTAAAGAATAAGCAAACACAGCATAGATCAGTTTAAAAGAAATCATGGTACTTCTTAGAGCAATTTGCAAAGGGGGAAAAAAGTCTTAGGCCCAACTCCTTGGAAATAAATATCAAGTAACCATAAAAATATTCAGCCATTTTTCAGTTATTCAGAGAGTTCAGGCATGGTCCCACGCAGAATATCAGAGTTCCTCTTTGAAATAACCCAGCTTTGCCAATGACATCTCTTTTCTCAACTGCATAACTTCCCAAAACATCTGATCAACTATACAAATAGAAAAGAGAGATATTTAAATCATAAAATACCATCTTCATTATTTTTAACGTTTCGCTGAAAACTTAAGTTAGCTGAAATGTCAATTGCATCAACTGCGTATTTCCTAAAGATGTACCTACATTTTTTCAATAATTCACATAAGCTTTTCCACAGACTTGTGACCATCCCAGTTTTATCAATAAAGCAAGTCACCAGTTTTGCCACAATTATTCGTTAAATGTATCAGAGACGATCATTTTAGCTCTAGAAAGGTAGACATCCAGCATCCTGAGTAAATGTCAATGCTGTCACCTTCATGGAGTACACTCAATGCTCAATTATTCGAGTTATTCTCTAACTTATGAATCTTCTTGCTCTAGTTTGTTATATCATGGCCATTTTACTCTTCATTAACACTAACAGAGGGTGAAGGGGAAAAAAAGAAAACAAGACAATCCAGAAAACTCAGTAACACTGTTTGTGAGTAATAACAGAAAGGTTTTGCATATGGCTCAAATTAGAAATAAAAATGCATGTGGAAGATGAATTGTAAATTCAATTACCTATACTTTTGTAAGTTCCCACTATAAGTGGAAAAATGTTGGCTCCTTATTTCAGACAATAAAAGGTCTTCGTTTGATATGTGATCAGATTATATTCATTTAGATCAATGGTTCTCAATCATGGAAGATTCCACCACTACCACTACCACCACTTCTCATCCCTGGCCACTCCAGGGTACATTTGGCAATGAATAGATACATTTTTCACTGTCCCCTCTCGGGGGTGCTACAGGTATCTAATGAGTAAAAGCTAGGGATGCTATTAAACATCCTGCAAATGCACAAGACAGTCCCCCACAACAAAGAATTATCCAGCTCAAAATGTCACTAGTACCAAGGTCAAGAAATTCTGCTTTAGATTTAGCTGCCCTAAATCTTTTGTTGGCACAAGGCACATATAATAAACAGATTTTAAGACTAATACCTGTTTACAACAAACACACATAGTAAATGATGTGTACTAAATATCATAAAGTGGAAGAGTGATAGAAACCAGAGAAGATATACTACTTTTATTATCATCACCCTCACCATTCATTACTCGCAACACTTTCTATTTTCATAAAGTAAATTATCTTTCTGTCTGTCCTACAAGCTTCTCATTTAAATAAACAGAAAAATATTATATTCTTGGCAATTATATTTAACATAAATTTTCTGTTATATGGCTTAAATTATATTATCCATCTACAGGTATTCAAAAATATTTCAGTTTTATTAAAGTCAAAAAAAAGTATTATACAGTTTAAAGACTGTTTGTATGTTATTAAGTCTTTTGAAATTCAACATTAATTAGGTTGTCAGGTTATTAGGTTAACAGGTTTTATCCCTATTGTTTTAGGCATTAAAATCCAACTATATGGGATTTTAAAGAAATATGACGTTTTTCAACATACCAGACCTTGAGAAAGGCTAAACTAAGTTTTTATCAGCATGACTAAGTTCTCCATAGAATTAAGATTCACTAGTTTACATGATTGAAAGATGGTAGGCTTCTACCAGTGTTTGAGCAAGATAATATTTTCAGTGCCTAAAAAATATAAACAGGGAAATTTCATAAAACTTTAAATACAAACTGGCATAGACTTGTCTCTAGCCCAGTATCTGCTATTTTCATTTTTATGCAATCATTTGTGCTCGAGAGATACTGCTTTGGAGATGTCAGGCCGTATTAGTTTTTATGCCTGATATTTAAGATATTTAGCTATAAAGCCATATAAAATTGTATTAAAAATATTAACACACTTGCATGAGGTTGCTTCTCCTGGATATATCACCTGCATGTTTCTGCTGATTTAGAATATGGCAATCTTTATTCCACTCAGAATTATCCTCATGACTACTTTATTAATTCACACGCAAAAAATAGAAAATACAGGGAAAACTTAATTGTGAGCTCCATCATGGTTTCCATCAATTAAAATAAATCTGACCACTTTGCCGCCCTCATTTTCATCTCTTAAAGAGTCAATTCAATGAGCTTGGAACTCTCTTCTCATTTATCATCTGGTTTATTATACACCACTTAGGAGTTAAAACTGACCCTGCTTAAAATTCAAAATTAAGAGTAAAATGAGGCAAATAAAATAATCAAACACAGTATTTTTCTAAAAGACATTTGTTCCCAAATTCTCCACAAATTTTATTAGAACTATATATGGGATTCAACATAAATGTACCAACAATAAAGCTGATATGAGCATTACTACTACGTCCTATACTTTTTGCTGAACTTTTATGTAAAGATTTATACTGAATCAAGAACACTCACCATCCTGCTGTTTCACGAGTCCCTGCTGAATGTATCGAATGTATGTAAAAAAGTTACATACAGAAGTGATCTAGGCCAAATGGAGAAAATGTCATGAATGGTCAAATGTCTCATATCAAAGCAAGCTTTATTAAAATTCATGGTTAAGTCACTTACCCTGTATCTGCAAAAAGGAGAAATATAATAATAGTTGCTTGAGTCCCCTAATTTAATTCTGTGTTTACAGGACTTACTCTGGCCAGTGAGAGCACATTTTCTGTGAAATAATGATAAATTTCAGTTTTTTGAAATTAAAAGCATTTGTCCCTACCTTCTGTACAAGTTACCTATTCATTCAGTTAGATGACAAATATTTGAGAACCTACTGTGTACCAGGCACAGTTCTAGATGCTGGGCTACAGTGATGAAACAGACAAAGACTATGCCCTTGTGAGACTTACATTCTATTAATAGTGTAAGTTTAATGCCATAATATTAACCATGATTCTAGAAACAGAAACTAGGTGTTTTCCATATATGTCCCATCCTGGAACAAATTTACAAATGAGTAATCAGCTGCAGGACGGCTCTCAGCTTTCCATCAGGATTTCAACTTCTCAGTTGAAAATATCCTCATGATGACTGTTCAAGTCTCAAAGCATGTTACGGATAGCTTGCAGGGTAATAGTTTCCAGATGGGGTATTTGTTTATTTGGTTGGTTGGTTGCTATATTTGCATTTAATGTGGGACCTAGGGAGAAGTACAAAGGAATAAGCTACCTTATAAAAATACTGAATCTTAACAATCATATAACAAGTTCACTAAATTTCACACCATCCTTTCTATTTGCATGACAAAAGCTAAAATTTTATATGAGGGCTTTCTGGCTGGGATTAGGCTATCAGCCTCTTGAGGGCAGGGACTTTGATTCATCTTTAAATGCCTGACACCAGGAATGTGCCTGGCACACAGCACACATTCGATGACTGCTGAATGAGTAATGAGCCATCTGTTACCCTATGGCTCCGTGAGATAAGGCTGGCATGTCTATCAGGCCAGACTTGCAGCAGCCCAGCTGTCACCCTCCTAAGCTAGGAACCTGGCTCAATACAACTATCACTCCCCATCAATGCAAAATTAGCATAGCTCTAAGTAAAGTAAGAGGCCAATAGCATTTTATATGACAGTACAAATTACATAGTAAATATATTAAACAACATTACATTTTAGCGATACTTACAAGAAATATAATACAAATGTGACTTTATATTAAGAAAACACACAACAATGTGTATTTGAAACAGGGTAATTTTTCAGCAGGGAGTAATTCAAATCACTAACCAATTCCTATCTTTTTTCAAATATTCCTTTGTTTCTTTATTAGCAAATTCCTTTAATGATCTGTAACAATATATAAAAGCACTAACTACTAGTTTGGGGAGGATAGAAGATCTAGAAATTTAAAGCACAGAGTGTTGAAAGTCTGTGGAACTTCCAAAAGTATAATTTGCACGAGAGGAAAATGTGCCATCAAGTTGCTAAAAACCAATTTATACACTATTCTTCTGGAAACAGGAAACAGACATATGCCTGCTGGTCTACTATTCAGCCTAATTTTGAAACGGATTTGGTAAGGTGGCCTTAAGTATCAACTTTTAAAATAATAAGTGTTTCTTTTTTTAACTTGTAAATTCAAGAGTACACATGCAGGGTGTGCAGGTTTATTAAATAGGTAAATATGGGTCATGAGGGTTTGTTGTATGTATTATTTCATCACCTAGGTATTAAGCCTAGTATCCACTATTCTTCCCGATCTTTTCCCTCTTCCCATCCTCCACCCTTCCATAGGCAGCAGTGTATGTTGTTCCCTCCGATGCGTCCATGCGTTCTCATGGAACACAAAAGCTCCCACTTATAAGTGAGAACACGTGGCATTTGGTTTTCTGTTCCTACATTAGTTTGCTAAGGATAATGGCCTCCAGCTCCAGCCATGTCCCTGCAAAGGACATGATCTCGTTCTTTTTTTATGGCTATATAGTATTCCATGGTGTATAGTGTTTCTTAAAAGATCTCATTTCTAAGCCATTTTGTAAACTAGACACACCTAATATATTTTTAGTTAAGCCAGGATTCAATGCGAATAGACCTTTGACCTCCAACTCCATTTTTTTTTTCAAACATGCTACATACACTACATTAATAAATCTCTGTAACTCTAGTCCCAAGATTTCAAATCCTTGTTTGCCATTTTCATGTGACAATGTCAGCATGTTTAAATCTAGACCTATAATCTTCTCCCACAAACCAAAGCCTTTTCTATTAATTTCCACAATCACTTCAAATCAGTCTTTCAGTCAGACATCTCTAACTCCTTTCTCCTTTACCCATCACCCCACCCCAATCTAACTTTTCTTTCTTAAAATCTGTCACATCTTCCCTTGCCTCTGCATACACTCACCATCCTTTGAACACACTTTGATTTCTTGTTTCTAGGTCTTCAATTGTATATATTGCTCTTTATCCAAATTACTCTTATGCTTCAAAAACCTAAACCAAATCTCCCTCCTTTCAAGAAGAGTACCTAATTATAGTTTGAATAATCTTGTCTTCCTCAAAATTCCTACAGTGCTGTGCCACTTATTGAGTCATTATCTTCACACTGTAGCTCACAAGAGCCACGGCCAGAGCCATACTTCACATAGTTTTTTCCATATGATATGCATCACCTTGGTTTCTGGCCCCATTCCCACAAGCACAATGTCCTTAAACTTTGTAAACTGTTCTCTAAATCTAAACTATAATTATTTTACTAAAGATACTTTAAATGCACTTTAATTTGATATCCCCATTTGTTATCATTTGATGATATTTGCACATATATGTGTGATATATAATGCAAGCACAAATTTTAAATTCTACAATAAAACCAGTTGTATGCTATATTTAAAATGAGGCACGACACAGACCTTAAACATATGAAAACTGCTATGATTAAATTTAATTCTCCATATTTGGGGTAGAAGGATCAGAATAAAAATACTTGGGTGTTTGTAGAATTTAAGAATGTAAATCTTTCCCTAAAATTCAGAGGCCACTGTTACACAGGTGTGGCTTGAGGGAGCGAGGTGGACGTGTGGCTCACAGAACAAATATATGACTAGGAACCCTCCAACAAATGATCACCTAAATAACAACATTCTGTAATCTTGCTGAGAATGTAACATGCCTAACAGGGAATAGAAACAAGCACACAGTTCCTACAACAGCTTTAACACAGACCTATTAGTTCATCTCAACCAGTCTTTTCCTTTTCTGGCTTCAGAATAACCCTGACAGCAGTCAGTTACACTTTCTATGAGCTCTCTTAGGCTTTCTAGTCCCCTATATTGATCTGGCTCTATGTACTTAATAAGCATCTTTCTCAAAAGCTTTCCAAGTCATTTTTTAAACAGAAGCCAAGACACAATTATGCCATGGTTTTAGACAAAACCTTTCACCGTTGCCAGATGTTTTAAGCACTGTTGGTTTCAGTCATTCCTCCTCATAGGACTGGATGGAAAAAGTCTGCCCTGCTATGAAATGTGGGAGTCTTATCTCTGAAGATTTCTAATTCTCAAGTAAGACTCACATATGAAAGACAAAACTGATTATTTATTAAAGTGAGAATCCTTTACAAACACAATATAAAAGGAGAAATCTCATCAAGTCTTTTTGGTACACTGTTTTCATGATTGATAAGACTCTAACTCAGTATCTTCCCAAACTATTTTTGATAGTCACCCTCAGACAGAAGTATTTTATACAGAAACCCAGGACACATGGCTATACATATACATGTAATAAACAAAAATTCTGCTTATGACCCACTAAACTGATTTCACAATCCACTAATAGGTCACAATATGAGGTTAAAAACAAAAACAAAACTCAGATTTCTATCTCTAGTTTACCTGGATCCATATATGTATATTATTGTATTGGGTTGGTGCAAAAGTAATCGTGCTTGTTGCCATTACTTTCAATGGCAACAAGCACGATTACTTTTGCACCAACCTATAATTAAAAAGGCTCTCCTTTAATGCTAAAGCTGAAATACTGTATTCCACACTGTCTCAGGAATTCGTCTTTGGGCTACACAGACACTTAAGAGAAATCTGAGGGAGATATAACTACATTTAAAACCAGAAAAACTAAATAACTGCAACCCATAACATTTCAAAAACTCAGTCACTTTCACAATTCATGCATGTAAAAACCTACTTTGGTCCTCCGCATTCAACTGCAGAAGCTTTCACAAACCGGATAGGTTGTAATCCCACTGGTTCAATGCTTAGAGTATTGTTTTCCACAGCCTCCAGAACAGCTGAAGCCAACTTAAAAAAAAAGAAAAAGTACTAGATGCTACACTGGCAGAAAAATATCAAAATTGTATTCTACAGTAAACTAATTTTACAAATTATTCTTCTCCCAAGTCCACTAGCTTGGCTTTAGCAAATGAAAAAGGAAGAAATCAGATAATTTTCATTTGATTTATTTTATAATCCAAATGCTGTTATGAAAGGCAATTCACTTATGGTAAAATAACTTTCCTCATTATCTGGATGAGGATTAAAGGCATTAATTCCAGTCTCTGTTCACTCCTTACCCATGATTAATATCCACTGTTAATGCCACTTCAAAATGAATATCCTGAAGCTTTATTTTGCTAAATGTATACAATATTTTTAAACACTGGTCATTTATACCACAGCAATATATATTAATTAGCTGCATATTCTCTAAATTTGTATTTATGTGCATAAGAGTGAGTCTACAAAAGAATTAGCTGAATTATCAAATATTAAATGCCAGGATGAAGATGGTAGCCACTGATACAAGATGAAACAGGAAAACTTTAGTCTGGCAAGCTTACTAATACTGAATGGCCTACCTGAAACCAGATACAGAGTCACAATGAACAACACATATTCATATCAAAAGTGTGAAAAATGCTCATCTTAACTTCTCCTGATAAGTAACATTACAATTAAATTCTTGAAAGACTTAACATAAAACTCTTAGGATTAAATTTCTTATACTTTAATTGACAGGATATTTCTAGACAAACCTTTCACATGTAAGAATAAATTAAAATTATAGCTTCACATTTTTGTCCTGCCTTATTTTTCTAAGGTTTTTGTCTCTACTTAATTCACTTCATTTTATCCTTTTAACAATCCTGTGGCACAGGCAAACAAGGCATTACTTTTCCTGTTTTAAAGATTAAAAAAATAAGATTTTTAAATCATGCACAGATAGACACAACAAATGCCTTTAACAGAGTGTGTAAAGAACTTCCCTTACACTGAACCTTGGACTGTAAATCAAGAAACAAGTCCTATCCCCCATATCTATTTAATACCTGACACCAATGCAGTACACATTTTAGTGTGAATGATCCTCTGCTCATGTAAGGAAAGATGTTCAGTAACTGAATGCTGAGAAATTATCATGATTCTAGTACAGAATGGCAAAAATAGTAAAACATGACATTTTATAATAACTTATTTATGTAGGAGATATTAAAACATGTAATATGATTTAGTTTAAAAGAAGTACAGAAACAACTATAATGAAGTCCTACTAAAATGAAAACAAATTACCTCGCTTTTTGAGAATGTTAAACATGGAAAGATATCTTCCTGGTAGATTTTGTCTAAGAAAGGACACGTCCTGTCCATTGTGGGCTCATCCTTCCACAATCGAAACTCATTATACAAGGATAAGTCAGCCTAACAGACAAACCAAAGGAAAACACAAACACATGTTTTAAAAAGTATAACCATAAAAACCACTTTACAAAACCAAAACTAATTTAAACATCACTGAAAAACAATGCTCTTCATTTAAAATAATAAATTGAACCACTCTTGATTAGTTATATAATACCTGGTAGCAGTTTTCCTTTTTAAAAAATGACTCTCAAATAACCAAGTAGCTTTTCTCCATGCATCATCTGCTACCATGTTCAATAACACTACTATTATCCTCACCCTGAGCTCCTTCTCCCATCCCCACCAAAAATGCTGGAGTTCCTCTTAAGACACAGGTGGCACACTATTCAGAATATAATAAATGATGACAAGTCTTTTCTGAAAACAATAAAAAGGTAATTTGGAACCTAATTAATTATAGTGTTTAAATAAACTGAGACTGACTGAACTGTGAAACCTAATTTGGGATCAAAAATGACACAGTTCTACTATTACTTGAAGGCATTCCCAAAAGAATTGTCAAAATGTTACTGCATAAGCAAAAGGATTTTAAAAAACAACACGTAAAGTCTTCTAAACTGCCTATCTTAAAATACAACATTTATTTAGATATTTTTGACATATTTTTGGTATCCAGTAACTACCACCTTAGGCATCGATAATAATCCACTGCTGGCACCTGCCTTCCTATTCACTCCTCCAGCTGTCCCTCTCTTTCCCACCTCCCTAATAAATTTTCCCCAAGTATTCTTCCCTACAGCTTCTCAGATTCCCTCAGTCCAGCTCAATAACATCTGCTGGCATACAAAGTTGGACTGTCATCAGTCACCCAAACTAGAGCAGTCTCCACCATCCTACAGCGTTAAGCTGCTCTTGTCCACAAGCACTGGATACACCATAAATGATGCGCTGACTACAGCTACAGACTGCCTCTAGGATAGCTCAATCAGACGTGCAAGTAGTCTACAAGAACGTAACAGAGCTAAGTGTAGCTAAGCCTTCCTACAGACTTCCTTTTAAGGTGTATGAAGGCAATCTCCACGTGAATTTTCTTTTCAGACCAATTCATAAATTCCTTGAATCAAAGCAAAAGCAGTAGGATAAATAATATTAGCATATAAGCAATACTTACATTTTCAAATGCATTTTCTTTGTAAAGTTACTGAGAAAAAGGACATAAACCTCAAAGCAGGTAACTGGTATTCTAAGGAAAGATTCTAGTTTAAAGGCTGTAATTTAAACTATTTATTAAGAGCTGACTCTGCCAGGAACCACTGTAAGCACTTCACAAACATTTAATCCTCACAATGGTACAAGACAGATATTATGATCGCCATTTGTAACTTGCCCAAGATTGCATAGCAAGAAAACAGTGAAGTCCAAATTCAAATCTAAGTGGCTTGATCCCAAAGCTTTGCACTGGGCTTGTATGTCTGCATGCAGGAATGTGTATTTTAAATGTCTACAAAAGACATGTTGCTAATGTCATAACTGAGTGCCCCCATCATATTTTCTACAAAAACATGACATGCTTCATTTTCTTCCAGATCGTTACATATTTTTCTAAGACTTACACAGGCCATATTTATGTAATTTCTTTGCCTAGTAAGACTTTTTGACAAGTTTTTCATGAAACATCAGAATATAACACATACCTGGAAAGCAAAGGTTATTATTTTGAAGTTATATGTTGCCTAGACACGTTTTAAGGGATTTCAAAAACTAAAATGAACCTTTACCATGTTCCATGAGAAGACATTTAAATTTTGTTAGTGTCAATAGGGGGGAAAAGTACATAATTACTTACACATACTGAGTAAGAAACAGCAAAAATACAAGTTGTACCAGGCAATTAAAATTGCTATTTAAATTTCAAAGAATTAGAATTAAAGTTATGACAAAAAAAAGTTTCTTAAATACTTCACAGAAACCAATGTGAATTTTGGATTTGGTTACATTCATATTTAACCAAGTATTGAACTTCTCTCTTAGCAGCATCTTTCTTATTAATAATTAGTCAAAATGCAATTCAATTACAACAGGTTAACAACATTGGTTATTCCATTTAATAAACTCCTGACTTCCATACAAAAATTTAACAAGCACACACATTTCTTCAGGATTAATGATGAACTTGAATTCAACAATGTAAAAGACGGCTTCTAAGAAGAAATGGGAAAGCTTCATAAATTATTGATCAATCCTCTTAGAAATGCTTTCTCACAGTATACAATGATTAAAAACAATTTTTACTCTAAACAGCTCAAAATACTTATATATTATTTCAGTTATCTTTATTACATATCTTTTAAAATAATAAGACTATTATTATTATTATTATTATTATTTTGAGATGCAGTTTCACTCTTGTTGCCCAGGCTAGAGTGCAATGGTGCAATCTCGGCTCAATGCAACCTCCGCCTCCCAGGTTCAAGTGATTCTCCTGCCTCAACCTTCCGAGTAGCTGGGATTACAGGCATGCGCCATCACCCCTGGCTAATTTTGTATTTTTAGTACAGACGGGGTTTCTCCATTTTGGTCAGGCTGGTCTCGAACTCCCAGCCTCAAGTGATCCTCCGGCCTCAGCCTCCCAAAGTGCTGGGATTACAGGCATGAGCCACCGCGCCCAGCCCATTATTTCGTTTTAAATTTTTAATTATTATGGATACATGATAATGGTAGCCTTACATAGTTGTAAGTGTCTGAATAACTGAGACTGGCTGAACTGTGAAACCTAATTTGGGATCAAAAATGATACTAATTGTTCTACTATAACTTGAAATTTCACTTAGCAAAATGTCTTCCAGCCTTACGTAGTTGTAAGGCTACTATTATTTCTATTTTTTGTTGCTTAATTATCTGAATTAACTCTAGGACTCCTTTGCTGATATAAAATTCTCTCTCTGAATTTAAATAAAAGCAATGTATTAATCTTTAAGAAAATCATCTTTTCACATATTTCTTATATCCATACTTTGTAAGTGCACTCTAGCAATAAATGTTGACCAGCCAGATCATTAAAGCCACCCACTCTCCTCTAGACAACACACGACAGTTTCCTCCCTTAATGAAATATCGAGATTAAGAAACTTACCAAGTTTCTAGCAGGTACTCCAAGGTCAGCCAGGTAGAAAATGGAACTGAAGAATCCCTGAAAGCAGCCAGCTCTAGATAAAGCCTCCCCCATCTTAATACTGCATATTTTGTACTAAAAATTTTGCTGGCAAAAATGATAACTGACACCTCAGTGATGAGAATTAACAAGTATCAACAGAGTCAGAGGGGACAGTCCTTGACGAGTTACCTCTTTGCAGTCTTTTACAATTGGCTGTATCACACTGAGGTCCTGATGACTGCCACTCATAGCACTGCTTGTGCTTTTATTTCTTGTATGCCCCTTTTTAAAAGGTGTCTTTCCACCTGGCAAAGGCTCCTGCGTAGGTGATGTTGGAGAACTGGACAATACAAGTGTCTTCAATGCAGCTACTTCAGCTTGAAGTACATCAATCTTGGAAAGAAATCAACATAGTCACATACATTAAATATGTTTCATGACAAATGCAGCTAAATATTAGCAATCTGGTCAAAACACTTTCAAAGACGAAAAGTAAGTGTAATTTGTATGTCCTGTGGAGTAATAAAGAGAAACTAAAATCAAGTTTTTCGATGTTTCCATACGGTTTGGATTTACCTATTATTCACAATGTCAAATCAAATTTTGAAAATTACCAAAATAGCTAACATTTATGTGAATTTTCAAAATCTTCAAAATACAATAGCTTATGACTAGTTGTAGAAGTTCACTCCTAAAACAGTAAAATCTAATAACATTTAGGTGGCTTTTCTCAGTGAATTTAAAAACTAAGTATTAACGTTAAAATGTGATTCTATAATCCTTTGGATAATTTATGTGATTTACAAGGCTTTAAATTATTTGGTTCTCATATAAATGGACACCAAATGTTTACTATTAATTATATCTACATAGTAGCTATTTTCTTCTATTTTTCTGTAGTTTCCAAATTGAAAACAAGCACTACTTTACAATCAGAATAAAATCCAACAGATGTTAAGGTATCTTTAAAACAGTCACCACTATTTTATACTACTAAGAGCAGCAAAAACTTACTTTTCCTTGTGCTTCTTTTAGCTGTTTTTCTGCTGTTGCCTGCTTGATATTTGCTTCTCTCACCATTTTATGAGCTTCCTGAAAAAGTTAACATCTCATATTTTAGAAACAAAGTAGCATTTGTTTTCAAAAAGCTTTTGCCAAGTGTTTATGATTGAAGCAAACATATACTACCAGAATTTAGCCCAAAAATAAGTACTCGATATCAACTATGGAAGCAGCAGTTGACAACAGAGACAACTATGAGGCATTAGGAATAGGTGCCTTCTTTTAGGACCTATTACCACTGAGGCAGCCAAGTTGAGATCAATCATCCTGATTAATGCTTGCGTAAGGACTGTAAATGTGATGAAGGCAAACAATGACCAACATGTCAAAGCCAACTCCTTTGCAGTCAGCTTTTTATAATGTGGTCACTATATATGTTCTTATTAGTCATAGCAAAGACATACAGGAGGGACAAGTAAAAACATTAACACACCAATAATGTTGCAGTTTACAGTAATGATAGTTAAAAAGCCTTAGAGCTTTTAATAAAAAGATTCACAAAATTATATTAAGTGACAATTTTGTGCAGAGCAACCTAAAAAGGCAAATCAGAGTTTACCCTTTAATAGATTTTTAATCTTCGAGTACTACAAATATGAAACTCTAGGTATTTAATTCATTTTATTCATATAATGTTTATTCATGAGACATTTACCCATGTCATCTCCTCGTGAGGTACTGCTCCAGATGCTGATTACATTCTGGGAAAGGACAAAGTCCCTGCTCTTAAGGAGCTTATATTCTGATTAATCAAATAAAATATCAGAGTAAGAATTGCAGGTTTTATTCTAAATGCAATATGAAGCCTTACAGTTTTTTTAAGGAAGCCTTACAGTTTTGTTAAGGAAGACATGATCTTTTTATTTTTAAAAGATGATGCCCTTGTATAGAATAATCCCTATAAGGGATTAAGAATGGTCTGGAAGCATATATATAGGGTGCTTGAGATAGTGCCCTGGGATTTAAGAACTTACATTTTAGAACTTCAATTTACAATTTATCAGAGGAAGGAAGGAAATGAGCTTCAAAGATATTTAATGAATAGTTTGACAATGGCACCCTCACTAGGTCTACCAAAATGCACAGAGGTAGAATGGAAAGGTGGAGGTTCTTTACATCAGAGTTTGACTGTTTCCCATTCGTTCATTTGCTTTTACACTACTGTAATGATTGCAGTTTGCATGTGCCCATGAATGTGAATTTGCAGCTTATATTAGTTTAAATAGGAGAATCTTTACTATCAATGATTTATAACAAAATGATATTAACCATGAAGATATTCCATGCACTATTATTCTGGCTATCTTGGCAAAGTCCTTAAGAGCTGTCAAATTTAATGAGTTAAACAGTCTCCTTTTAAAAGTAACAATTGTTTCAGATTTGCTGAATTTTTCTGGGATAAGTGGCTGTCAACAGAAGACTATTTGGTGATGTTTTAAAAATAATAAACACAGCTAATCTGACCCTTCAAGATAAGTAACATTTTAACTTTAAATGCAAAAGTAATTCATAATATGGAGAGAATAGTTGACTAAATTTTTGGAAATGGACTCTGCTTTCATTAATAGTGGATTATACGGTTTGGACCAAACCTCCAACGGAGAACGATTAGAAAGCTACAAGTTTTTTGTTTGTTTTCAAAATGTGTTTGAAGGTATTTGAGAACAAAACAGTGAAGTAAACTCAGAAGTGATGAGAAATTTTAGGTGACTTTTCCACTACACACATAAGGGTTACAGTGAAAAGGTATAACACACATGTAACTGGAGCCCCAAAAGGAAAGATGAGCACTAGACTAGGGCAGGATCAGTTGCTAAAAAGATAACATGCAGAACTTTTACAGAATTTTTTAAAAATTGACAAAAAACATCAAAAGGTAGACTCAAAAAAAGTGAAAATTTTCCATCACACTGTCCTTCTGAAGCTGAAAATGATATAAGTATCACCTATACCAGGAGTTGGTAAACTTTTCCTGTAAAGAGCCAAACACTATGTATACATATACAGCCTCAGTTGCAACTCCTTAGCTCTGCTGTTGCAATGTGAAAGCAGCCATAGACAATACACAAATTAGTGTCACTGCTTTAATAAATAAGAGCACTGAAATACACATATCATTTTGTTTTTCTTTTAGCATATCCAGAACCTCTAAGTTACCTTTTTTTTTTGGATGTGAGGTGGTGAGCACACAAGATCTACCTTCTTAGCAAATTTGTCACATACAACATAGTCATGCTGTACATTGGGTCTTCAGAATTTATCTATCCTGCATAACTGACACTTTGTACCAATGACCAACATCTCCCATTTCTCCCATTTCCCAGCTCCTGACAACCACCAGTCTACTCTGTGCTTCTATGAGCTCGATGGTTTTAGCTTCCACATATAAGTGAGATAATGTAGCATTTGTCTTTCTGTGTCTTGCTTATTTCACTTCCTCCGGGTTCACTCATGTTGCTGCAAAACACAGGATTTCCATTTTCTTTTAAGGCTGAGTAGTATTCATATACACACACATACCCCCCACATTTTCTTTATCCATTTATCAATGGACATGTAACTTGTTTCCATATCTTTGCTACTGTGAATAATGCTGCAGTGAATATGGAAGTACACATAACTCAAGATAGTGATTTTCTTTTGGATATATACCTGGAAGTGGGATTGCCTATGTTGATGCATCCTTGCACCCCAGGGACAAATCCCATTTGGTCATAGTGTATAATCCTTTCAATATGTTACTGAATTTGATTTTCTAACATTTTATTAAGGGCTTCTGCACCTATGTTCATTGGGAATATTGGCCTGTAGTTTTTTCCTTGTGGTACATTTACTGGCTTTGTATCAGAGTGATACTGGCCTCATAAAATGAGTTTGGAAGTGTTTCCTCTTCTATTTTTGTTAGAGTGTAAAAAGAACTGGCACTGATTTTTCTTTGAATGTTTGGTAGAATTTACCTGTGAAGCCATCTAGTCTTAGGCTTTTTTGTTTCTACTTCTTGATTCCATTTTCTGGAATTTGATTCCAGAAAACTGATTCAGTTTCTAGGAATTTATCTATTTCTTCTAGATTATCCAATTGACTGGCATGTGGTTCATAAAAGTCACTTACGATCCTTTTTATTTCTGAAGCATCCATTGTAATACCTCCTCTTTCATTTCTGATTTGAGTCCTCTCTTTTCTTGGTTTGTCTTGCTAACGGTTTTTTTCAAAAAACAAACTCAGGTTTTCTTAATATTTTCTATTATTTTCCTATTCTCTATTTCTACTCTGATCTTTGTTATTCCCTTCCCTCTGCTAAGTTTGGACTTAGTTTGTTCTCCTTCTAATTCCTTGAGGCATAAAGTTAGGTTGTTTGATATTGTTCTTCTTTTTTAATGTAGGCCTTTATCCCTCTTAGTACTCCTTTTTCTGCATCTCATAAGTTTTGGTACGTTGTGTTCTCAGTTTCATTTTTCTCAAGAAACTTTTCAAGTTCCCTTTTGATTTTTTCTTTGACTCAAAGGTTGTTCAAAAGGATATCATTGTTTAGTTTCCACATATTTGAGTTTTCCTTTTTTCTTACTATTACTGATTCCTAATTGAATTCCATTTTAAGTGGAAAAGATTCTTAGAATGATTTTGATCTTCTTAAATTTGAGACCTGTTTTGTGATCTAACATGAACTATACTGGAGAATGTTTCACGTGCACCTGAGAAGAATGTATATTCTTTTGCTGTTGTGTTAAAAGTTCCATACGTATCTGTTAGATCCATTTGGTCTATAGTGTTATGCAGTTCTGCTGTTTCCTTATTAATTTTCTGTCTGAATAATCTACTCATTAGACAGACTGGGGTATTGAAGTCACCTACTATTAAGGTATTGCTGTATCTCCCTTCAGATCTGTCAGTTTGTTTTATACATTTAGGTGCTTTGATGTCAGGTGCATGTATACAGTCATGCACCACATAACATTTCAGTGAACAATGGATTGCATATATGACAGTGATCCCATAAAATTATAATACCATATTTATTTTTACTTTACCTTTTCTATGTTTACATAAATATTTATCACTGTGTCACAAGTGTCTACAGTATTCAGTATAGTAACATGCTGTATAGGTTTGTAGCCCAGGAGCAATAAGCAATATCAGATAGCCAAGGTGTGTAATAGGCTGTACCACATCTAGGTTTGTGTAAGTATACTCTACCGATGTTTGCATGATGAAATCTCATAATGACAAAATAATGATTTAAAATAGGGAAAGATGTATTTCTTATATCAGACCAATAGATGTGTGAGTTATCAGCAGTATTAGATCTACATTTGAAAACAGAACTCAGACCAGACCTTCATCTGGATTATAAACTGTCAAAACAAGATTTTCTAAAATAAAGTAACATATTCAATCACAATCCTCTCACTAAGTATATATAAAACATGCGTGTGTTTAACTGTTTGAATGAGAACAAAATATTTTTGTACCATAATAAAAATTTTAAGCATTTTTATTGTCTTATCTTTTAAAATGTGTATTTACAACATATGTTAACACATTAGTATGTCCGTTAGCAAGTGTGTATAATTTATAAATACGTATATATGTTCATATAGAACACTGCCTATTGCCTAGCACATAGGGAACTCTCACTAAATATTAGGTATCTTCATCATAATGGAGGTAATATGCTCAAATTTTTCTTGTACTGATCAGATATAGGTTCAAAAAGTTTGGCATCTATTGATTTAGCTAACAAATGATGGTGGCTTGGAAGGTGATGTGTTCTATGTCCTGGAGGTAGCATCAAAAGACTTAACTGATCATTTGAGTGTGGAATGAAGAAATAAGAGGCCCCAGTGATGACTTCTTTTCTGTGGTTTGAGACAAACAGAAATGCCATTTATGATTTTCACAGTAGATAAAGCAAGAGTTAGGATCATGAATATGAGTGCCTGCATTGCTCATTAGCCTCTCTATGCCTCACTTTTCTTCTCAGATAAAATGATAATAATCTGCCCTATATGCGTCATAGTACTGTTGAGAGAAAACTAGACATATCATAAACATTTACTAAAACTGGCTTATAAAACAAACTTCTTAAGACTACTTTTTTTCTCCGTGTGAGATGTAGACTGCTTTGTATTCTTTCAACTGACTTAATTTTATATTATCTCAAAATTGAAGGTGTTAGAAGAAAAACATAACTGTTGAGGTTTATTCAGTATTTGATACTTTTAAAACTCAACTTTGTTATATACAAAGTATAATTATATTGAAGACTAGGATAATAGACTCCTAATTTGAATATACATGTCAGACTTACCAAAACTGTGCATATTGAGTTTATTCAGAATAATCTTTAATTCTTAAAAAGTTATGCACACATACACACACACACACACATATAAAGTGCAAAAAAAGTATCTTTTCATAAGACAATGGTAAACAGATCATGAAGGCACAATTAAGACCAAAGAAAAACTTTGAGCACTTTTTCCAAGATTCATATATAATCAGTTCGAATACAACTTTCTTCATTACCAAAATCATCTTTAATCAATGCACTTTGTTTTCCAGAAAGTAGCCACAGTGTCAATGCTAACAGCCACCATTGGGTTAGAAAAGGTTAGAGACTCCAAACTATATTTTTTAGATATGCTTTTTCACTAACTGCATAAGCTGCATTTCTGGTCCTTCACATCTTGCTACTTACAGGGAGAAGTTTCTTTCTGTTTTTTCTCATTCTATTTCATGTAACAGAACATACATATATGTGCAGATGGGTGAAACTAAGCAGGGTTGAATTAAATGCAAGTAGTCAGGAAATAAAAATTAACATAAATAGCTCAATATATTTGCCTTTTAACCTAATATCCATATCACTACAAAATTTTCTTTCAGTCAGACAACACTGGAAGAAAAATCTTACGTTTCTATATAACCTTCTATACAGAAATGTAACAAGTCACATAGCTTCTATTCTACCTCTTCAACTTTCCACTCTTCCTATCCTTAAATTTATTCTCCTCTCATCTCCAATGACTAGCTAGCTAAGAAAATAAACAAATTAGTTTTAAAATGTTCATGAAAGAAAATGACCCTAAAAAGACAGAGAAGAAGGCAAAGGGGTATGGAGCAGAGAAGGCATGGAAAGTCCTACATATCTAAAGACATTCAGTGCAAGGTTACTTGTAATGATAAAAGTTGTGGAACAGGCACCTAGTAGATGATGACTATCATTACAATCAGTGATGGTGCAGTAACATTAAAAATGTTACTTAGAAAAACACAAAATATTAAATTACAACTATGTAAGAATATATATACCTGAGACTGTGAAATAGATTATGAATAAAAATAACAAAAGGTGATGGAATTTACCCCCACCACAAGTTGATTATAATAAAAGTTTTAAGAATAAATCTTTACGAAAAATATATATGTATCGTTAAATGATAATGGCATTAGCCATTCCAGTAACACATCAATGTTATTGTTAAGGAACTTCTCAAGACTCAAGATCTTAACCCAAAGGAGACACTTTATGGCAACAGTTCTTACTCATGGAAGTACTACCCTCACCTCGCCCACCAAGGGTATTTGTATGCTGTCAAAATGATCAGGGGGTGTTACTAGCACTTTTTTGAGCAAAGCCTATTGTGATGGTTAATCGTGTATGTCAACTTGACTGAATCACAGGGTGCTCAAATATGTAGTCAAACATTATCCTGAATGTTTCTGCATAAGAATAACATTTACATTGGTAGACCGAGTAAAGTAGACGTCCCTCTAGAATGTGGGCGACCCTCATCCAATCAGTTGATGACCTGAATAGAACAAAAAAGGGCGACCCTCCCTCAAGGAAGAGATTTTTTTTCTGCCTTCAGATTCAAACTGAAACATTTGCTCTTCCCAGTGCTCAGAACTTCAAAGTCAGACTGGAAGTGCACTATCAGCCCTCCTGGGCCTCCAGTTTGCTGTGACTTCCACTGCGGTTCCCTGGGACTTGCCAGCCTCCATAACAGCAAGAGTCAACTCCCTATAATAATGCGTGCCTCTGTCCCTCTCTCTCTCTCTCTCTCCCTGTGTCTCTCTATATATGTATATGTATAGGCTCTGTTTTTCTGGAGAACCCTAATACACCAAGGACACTAAACGTCCTACAATGTCAGTGGCACCCCTATGGAGAAACACTGCTCCAGTTAGGTAGAAACTTTTCCTGGTGGCGGGCTGGATATAAAAAGTATGCCTTTTTACAAGCAGATGTGCCTTCTACCATTTCTCAAACTATCCCATATAAGATGACTATCTCAGAGTTTGCCCTCTTAGTTGTACAGTCATATGTAGTTAATCTAAAGTAGCCCATAAATACTTGGTAAAATAAAAAATCAATACTAAAATTTGCCTCCTTTCTTTGCATACATACATTTTTAAACAATCTGATACTGGTAGCCCATAGTTGTTTTTTATTTCTTTTCACATCATTTTAAGTTGTAAATTCTACATTGCTTAAAGATTTCTCTTTTGCTTAGAGGACTTATAAATATACATGAAGCTAAGCAAATCTTTTTCAAGATTCCCTCAAAATACAATTTTGTCAATATATAAAAGTCAAGATGCTGCTGTTGGCCAAGATGTAAATAGACCAACCTCAAATAGACTAGCTGTGAGTTCTTCCAATTCCTGTCCAAGTTGATCTCGCACTTTTGAAAGCCTCTCACATTCTTCATCTTTTAACTTCAGTTCCTAAGAGAAATTGATAATTTTATTTTGGATCTCCATAGTTGGAAGTTAGATTCAGCAGACTACATAATCTTTACTAATAAAATTATAAAATATGAATACTGTCGCTACCTACAATGTTCACATTGAAAATATTTATCTAGCACCTGCTATGTGGAAGACAATCAGGCAAGTCCAAAATTACAGAAAATCCCAACTAACAAATTAAATTTTCACATTTCTTTCATAAAATATTCAAAAATTAAAACTATATATTACATATATAATATATAAAAATATATATTACAGGTGAAAATAAATGACTTAATTCTTTTTTCCTTTAACTTTTTGCTATACATGCTTATTTCCATCAAGCAGGGAATTATGCATATTAATTTCAATAAAAATTCACTTTTTTCATGTTTACTTTAAAAGCTATTTACTTACAGGTAACTTCATATACCATACTGCACTTATCTAAAACAGCTGTTAGGAGACTATACCCATTAAACAATGTAACTAGATATAAACGATGTATATTTGCATTTAAAATCAAGAAAAATGTTAACAAAAATCACATTCTACATTTATATTCAGCTCCTCACCGGGTCACATATAGATGATTTAAAATTCCCTTATTCAGATATTAAAAATACGCAATTTTGTATGCTTAAGTAGCCCTAACCTTTCAAACACAGGGAGAAAAAAAATCTAAGCTCCTTACATATTAGTCACAATTAAACTAATAAAATAACGAGTTAGTGGTTTATAATTGTGGTGGCAGTATAGTCTTTTAATTCCCCAAAGATAATTCCTAAAAACCAGATATACCAACAGGGACATGAGAAGAGCCCAATGAAACTAAGTAAAAGAGAAACTCCATAATTCTCAGAATATTAAGAGAATATGGATAAACTGCTCACAATGCATGATCACCAGATGTACAAAAGCAGCAGGAAATTAAAGCTACAACAGAGGTACTCTACAAAGCAACAAAATCCAAAAATCACTAAGAAATACTCCACAAGCACAGGCCTCTATCTTTGGAAAAAACTCGAACAGCAAATCTAAGAAATAAATGGAGAGAAAGGAAAAGGTTTACACAAGCTCCAAGTTGCAGGTGAGTGCAAAAACCTGTATAGTCAGTCCCATAGGCAGCAAAGAGTGCTATGAAGCTCTAAACCCTCAAGCATCTTAGAGGAGTATGTAAAAAAGAGCCCTCACCAGAAGGACAGTCTCACCCTAAGGGGGAAAAAACTCTGAAATCTCAAACAAAACTGCAAGATAATGAAGACAGTGAGAAAGAAGGATCAGATATAAAGAGAGAAGGGAGTGGCAAAGTTCCAAAGGGAACAGTTGACAGAAAATACTATAAAGAGAAAATAAGTATCCTCTGATGGGATGCTAAGCATGTAAAGCTCTCAGAAACAGTGCGCTAGAAAAGAAAAACCTTTTTGACCAAGGATTACCTAAGAGACAAAGGGGCTACACACATACTCCAATAACAACAGAGGAGAAAGACCTTCAAATGTAAACTGATAAAGCTATCCTGATTTATTCTTTCATAGGAACCTCTTCCTAATAGTCCAGGGAAATCCAGATCATTTAAACATGGGAAACAAAAATATGTAAAGTTATCACAATAATGAAGTTAAATACAAAGCCAAGTCACCTATAAGGGAAAAAAAATCAGACTGGAACCAAATTTCAACGGCAACATTTATGTTAGAAAACAATGAAGTAACATTTTTAAGATACTCAAAGGAAAAAATATGAGCTGAGTATTTTATAACCAGCAAAAGTGTCCTTCAATTGTATGACCACAAAGTCATAAAGCTGTAAGACCTTAGAAAATGTCTCTCCTATGAGCTTGCCTGAGTGGACCACAGAATGTTTCAGATTAAAAAACAATAACAAAAAAAAAACTGGAGAAGCCGTAACATGATGGACTGGGGTAAGAAGAAAATACAGCTAGCTTTAGAACTACAACTAAAAGATGGGAATATCAAGAGAATGAGAAGACATGACACAAATTGGGAAAAAAAATTTGCAAATGACCTATGTGATAAACTACTGCTTCCAAAACATACAAAGAACATTTAAAATTCAACAGTGAGAAAAGAACCACCAAATTAAAAACTGGGCAAATGACCAAAACAGACACTTCACCAGAGAAGACAGATACACAGATGACAAATAAGCATATGAAAAGATAATTGCCGGGTGCGGTGGCTCACGCCTGTAATCCCAGGCCTTTGGGAGGCCGAGGCGGGCGGATCACAAGGTCAGGAGACCCAGATCATCCTAGCTAACACAGTGAAACCGCGTCTCTACTAAAAATACAAAAAAATTAGCCGGGCGTGGTGGCGGGCGCCTGTAGTCCCAGCTACTCGGGAGGCTGAGGCAGGAGAATGGCACGAACCTGGGAGGCAGTGGAGCTTGCCGTTAGCGGAGATTGCGCCACTGCACTCCAGCCTGGGCGACAGAGCGAGACTCAATCTCATAAAGAAAAAACAAAACAAAAAGCAATGAGATACCCTACATACCTACTAGAATGGCCAAAACTCAGAAAACGAGTTAGTGGTGTTGTAACTGTGATGGCAATATAGTTTTTTAATCCCCCTTTGGGGCATTAAAACTGGTAATATCAAATGCTAAAGAGAATGTGAACCAACAGGAACTTTAATTTATTGCTAGTGACAATGCAAAATGGTAAAGCTACTTTGGAAGATAGTTTGGCAATTTCTTACAAAGCTAACCATCCTCTTACCATGGGATCCAGCAATCACACTTGTTGGTATTTGCCTAAATTAGTCAAAAACATGTCCACATAAAAACCTGCACACACACATTTATAGCAGCTTTATTCACTCATAATTGCCCAAACTTAGAAGCAGCCAAGATGGCCTTCATGAGGTGAATGGATAAACTGTGGTACGTCCAGACAGCGAAATATCATTTTCTGCTAAAAGAAAATGAATTAACAAGCCATGAAAAGACATACAAGATTAAACGTGCATTACTAAGTGAAAAAAGCCAATCTGAAAAGGCTACACACTATATGATTCCAACTGTATGACAATCTGGAAAAGGTAAGACTACAGAGATGTTAAAAAGATCAGTGGTTGCCAGGGTTTTTGGGGAGAAAGGGATGAGCAGGCAGAGCACAGAGGATTTTTAGATCAGTGAAACTACTCTGTATGATACTATCATGGTAGATATATGTCATTACACATTCGTCAAAATCCACAGCATGTACAACATCAAGAGTAAATCCTAATGTAAACTATGAACTTTGGGAGACAATGTGTCAATGGAGGTTTATTAATTTTAAGAAATGTACCACTCTGGTAGGGGATGTTAATGGTGGGGGACGTTGTGCGTGTGTGGGGACAGCCAAGTATATGGGGACTCTGTACTTTCAATTTTGCTGTGAACCTAAAACTGCTCTAAAAAATAGTGTCAGTTTTTTAAAAATGGAGATAAAACTGACAAAATGGTATAAAAATGATACAAGCTCAAGGGATGTAAAAGTAACACATATTATTTTTAAAAAACAAAAAAATTACAAGAAAGGTGAAATTAAGTGTACTAACTTCTTAAGTATTGCTTGGAAAAAAGAGTTACAACTTGAAGCTCTCAAATCAACCGGGATAAACCCAAGTACATTTATGAACATAGTGATGGGCATTAAGATAATACTTGTAACTAAAATTAAATGATACAGGAAAAGGGAAGAAACAGTTTAGTATTGTTTATGGCAGGAAACAAAGGTAGTATATAAAGAACTTTTAAGATATATAAATGTATTTGATTAAAAATAACAAAACAAAAATCAAACCTTCCAAAATACTAATTAAAAAAAAAAAAAAGACTTAGAAGGAATCAAGCACACTAGTGCCTAAGCAGGAAGTTTCATCTGCCCACTGGCATTGGTCTTGGCAGCAGATCTGAAAGTTATCCCGTAAATTGGCTCCAACCCCTCGGTCACCCAGCCATGGGCCCAGTTTATTACTGCTTGCACAAGTACCCAGAGGAAGATTTACCCATATCCACAACCCAGGAATGATTTGTCTGTCTGAGCCTCCTTGAAGGACCTGTCAGCCTTTGTCCCAAAGCAGGTCCTAAAGGATCCCACTCTCCACTCTAGCCTCTCTCACTGCAGTCAGGGAAATGTCCCACCTGTGCAGGGAGCTTCTGGGGGAAGCTTGCCTGCCTGGGCTACCCTGGAAGTTTGCCAGCCTCTGTTCCACAGCAAAGAAGGGGCCCAAACTCGGCTCCAGCCCCTCTCCCTGCAGTTGGTAAACTGTCCCATCCATGCAGGTAATTACTGGGAAGCATGGATGTGGGCCACTGGGGCAAGCTCAACCAGCCTCCACCCTACAGCAGAATATAAGGGGTCCCAGTCTCAGCTCCAGTTCCTTTTGCTGCAGTTGGGGAACTATCCCATCTGTGCAGGGAGCTGCTGGGAAACATGCATCTGTCTAAGCAAATGGGACAGGCTTCCAGGTTCGGGTCATTGGCCAACTTTCTCACAGTCAGGGTACCCCTACCTTGAGTGATCATCAGGTATATCCTGGCTGGAGCACCATGTCATCCTGGAAGCCCTCGGGAGACTCGTGGTAAAAATGGGCTTAAGGCGCCCTCTACCGCTGAAATGGCTGCAGTACTCACAGGCTTGACAACAGCCACTCTTGGATTTCTAGACAGGCCCACTGAAGAAGGATGGGCACAAAGTCACACTGCAAAGACTTGAATAAATAACTAATTTGTTAATAAGCAGACATCAATGTACATCCACAAGCATTAAGAACAATCAGGGAATTATGACCTCACCAAAAAGACAAAATAAGTTGCCAATAACAGACCCTAAAAAGATGGGAGATGTGTGACCTGTCAGAATAAAAATCAAACTAGCTGTGTTAAGGATCATCAGTGAACTTTAAGAAAATATAGATAAACAATTCAGAAATTTATCAGAAAAATTTAACAGAGACACTGAAATAAAAAATAAATAAATAAAAGAAATTTTTAAAAAAAGTTCCCTAGCTGGAATGTGCAGTGAAAGCAGTGAAAAATGCAATAGAGAGCTTCAACAACAGAATTGACCAAGCAGAAGAAACAATGAGTGAGCTCAAAGGCAGGATAAGTGAAAAACATACAGGTAGAGAAGAAAAAAGAAAAAAAGACTAAAGAGAAATGAAGAAAGCTTACAAGATCTATGGGATATCTATGGGATAGCATCAAAAGAGAAAATGTTTGAGTAATTGGAGTTCACGAGGGAATAAAGAAAGACAAAGGGTAGAAGGCGTATCCAAATAAATAATAACAGAACATTTTTAAAACCTGGAGAAAAATAAAATCCAGATAAAGGAAAGTCAAAGATCACTAACCATGTTCAACCTAAATAAGACTACCCCAAGGCATATTATAATCAAGCTGTCAAAGATCAAAGACAAGGAGGGGATTCTGAAAGCAGCAAGAGAAAAGAAGTAAGTTAATATATAAAAGAATTCCAATATGCCTGGCAGCAGACTTCTCAGCAAGAACCTTGCAGATCAGGAGGAAGCAGAATATATTCAGAGAGCTGAAGGAAAAAACGAACAAAAACACCAAGAATACTGTAGCCAGCAAAGCCATCTTTCAGAAATGAGGATTAAAAGTTTCCCAGAAAAACAAAAGCTGAAGGAATTCAGTACCATCAGAACTGTCTTACAAGAAATGCTAAAGGGATTTCTTCAATCTGAAAGAAAAGAATCCTAACATGTAACAAAGAAACTTCTGAAGGTATAAAAATCACTGGTACAAGTCAGTAAACAGACAAATTCAGAATACTCTAATATAGTAATAGTGGTATATTAACCACTCCTATGTTTAATATTAAGACTAAAAAACAAAACTATTAAAAATAATAACTATAGTACTTCGTTAAGAGACAATATACAAAGGTATAAATTGTGACATCAAAAATTCAAAATGTGGGAAAAGAATGGAGTTAAAATGTACGTTTTCTTTCTTTTCAATCAAAATTAAGTTGTTAGCAGTTTAAAATAACTGGTTATGTTTTTTGTAAGCCTCATGGTAACCACAAAGCAAAATCCTACAATAGATACACTAAAAGTAAAACGCAAGGCATCAAAACGTATTACTAGAGAAAATAACCACAAAGGAAGACACCCAGAGAGGAAGGAAAGATCTACAAAACAACAATAAAAGAAGTACCAAAATTGCAGAGGTATGTCTTTACTTATTAATAATCTTGAATGTAAATGGATCAAAATTTCTAATAAGAAACAGAGAGACTGAATGAATTTAAAAAACAAGACCCAACTCTATGCTGCCTGCAAGAGACTCAAATCCTCCGTAAGGACATACAGAGACTGAAAGGGAAAATATTCAATGCAAATAGAAAAACAAAAGAAAGCAAGAGTAGCTACCTATACTTATATTAGATAAAACAGAGTTTAAGCCAAAAATTGTAAAAAGAAACAAGAGTATTATATAATGATAAGGGGGCCAATAAAGATGACATAATAATTATAAATATATATGCACCTTACATTGGAGCAAATATGAATATACCTAAAAGGATAGACTGTCATACAATAACAGGGAATTTGGCACTCACTCCCAGAAACGGAAACAACTCAACGGCAAAAATACAAATAACATAATTTTAAATGGGCAAAAGACCTGAATAAACATTTCTCAAAAGAAGACATACAAATGGCCAAAAGGTATATGAAAAAATGCTCAGCATCATTAATAATTAAGGGCATGCAAATCAAAACCACCATGAGGTATCATCTCAACCCACTTAGAATGGCTATCATCAAAATGACAAAAAATAATAAACACTGAGGAGGATATGGAGAAAGGGAATCTTTTACACAGTGTTGGTGGTAATATAAATTAGCACAGCCATTACAGACAACAGTATGGAGGGTCCCCAAATAATTAAAAATACAGTATCCAGTAATTCCACTACTGGGAATAAAATCCACAGAAAATTAAATTCGTATGTCAAAGAGACAGCTGCACTCCCAAGTTTACTGCAGCACTATTCTCAATAGCTAAGACATGGAATCAACCTAAGTGTTCATCAGAGAATGAACTTTTTTTTTTTTTTGAGACAGGGTCTCACTCTGTCACCCAGGCTGGAATGCAGTGACATGATCATAGCTCACTGCAGCCTCAACCACAGAAGGTCAAGCAATCCTCCCACCTCAGCTTTCCAAGTAGCTGAGACCACAGGCATGCACCACCATGTCCGGTTTATTTATTTTTTGCAGAAACGGGGTCTTACTATGTTGCCTAGGCTGGTTTTGAATGCCTGTGGTCAAACAATCCTCCCACTTTGGCCTTCTAAAGTGCTGGGATTACAGGCATGAGCCACCACACCCGGCTGGATTATTTTAAATGCAGTATATATACAAAATGAAATACTATTCAGCCATAAACAGGAATGAAATCCTGTCATTGTGACAATATAGATAAGCCTAGAGGACACTATGTTAAGTGAAATAAGGCAAGTACAGAAGGACAAATATTTGCATGACCTCGAACTCATATGCAGAATCTAAAAAATCTGATCTCACAGAAGTAGAGCATAGAACAGCAGTTATCAAAAGCTGGGAAAAGTAGGGAGGAGTAGAATGAGGTAACAGTAAATGAGTAGTTGGTAAACAGATAAAAAGTTACACTTTAAATGGGAGAAATAAGTTCTGGTGTTCTATTGCACAGCAGGGGTGAATAGTTAATAATCTATTGAATATTGCAAAATAGCTAGAAGAGATTTTTAATGTCTCATCACAAAGAAACAATAAATATTTGAGGTGATAGCAATGCTATTTAGTCTGATTTGATCATTATACAATGTGTGTATGTACGTGTGTGTGTGTGTATATATATATACACATACACAATACCACACTGTGTCGCATAAATATATACAATTACTACCTGTCAGTTAAAAATCAAACTTTTTTTTAAATGGTAACTTGGACATTATGTCTGGGTTGAAAAAAGAAGACTGGAAAGAGACAAAACTAATCACTGCAATATTATAAGCAAGAGATATAGATTCAAAGAGGTAATACTGGAGACAAGAAATCTGAGAGATACAGTTTGCCCTCTGTGTACACAGGTTCTGCATCAGCAGGTTCCAAATCTGCATATCCAACAAACCACAGATAAAAATGTTGAGAAAAAACAATAAAAATACAAATTTCTATAAGACAATACAGTATAATAACCATTTACACAGCATTTATATTAGGTATTATATGTAGAGATGATTTAAAGTATACAGGAGAATATGCATAGGTTACACGCAAACACTATGCAACTGAGGATCTATCGATTTTGGTATCACCGGCAGGGTGGGGGGCAGATTTGGAGAACTGGAACAAAACCCCCAATGGATACCAAGGGATCAGTATATTTAGAACACAGACTATCAGGACTCTATAATCAAGTGTATTTCATCAAATCCAAGACTTCATCATTTTTTAGAAAAACATTTTAGACATTAAAAATATGTTATTAATGAATCTATAATATTCTTTTTTCCAACTGGAATTTTTATTTTAAACCTATAGGAAGACTCTTTTAAACTGATGAAGACATAGACTTTTATCATACGTAACTGTGCTTTTTTGTGCCTTTCTGTTTTGATGTCATATCACAGTGAGATCCTTTTGAAGATATTTAACCCAGTAATTAAGATCACAAATATGGAACCCAACTCACATAATTCAATTACATTTATAACACAGCTATGACAAGCTCACACACAAGAAAGCAATGATAAATGTCATGATTAATGTCTAGCTGACTGCAATTTTAAGACCTATACTGACTTCAGAGATGTTAATTGAAAAAAACGTACAACTCAGAATCAATGAAACATCATCATAAAACATATGCCACTTCTCCCCAACTAGTAAACTCCTTAAAGAGAGACATATCTATATTATTTTTGCGCCCTACACAACCTGGTGTAATGCTGGGAGTACTTTGGTTATTCAATAAATATTTGTTTCTGGTTTTCTGCTTCACCAACATGGTGGATTAGAGGATTTGAGCATGACACAGCCACTTGGAAGTCACAAGATAAGGCACAAAAGGAAAACAGAGATCTACCAGAATCACAAAAGACACCCCAGATCCCAGGGAGGAGAATGCTGACAAATAGGCCCCGTGACAGTGTCTGGCTGATAAAAGTGAGTGAAGTCCCAGTAGGTGAGAGAGGCAGAGAACTTCCCTTTGATTCACCTGTCCACCGGGGTTCCGAGCTATCCTGGCTGAAGGAGAGCACTTTGTTTCTCCCAATCCCTGGAGTTAACTTGGAGACAGTCTTGGAGATGCTATGAGGGAAAGAAACTGGGAAAAGCTGCAGACATGTTCCCAAACTCAGGACCAAAGGCAGAATGCCATTTTTAATCAGGGCATGTATTAGTCCATTTTCACACTGCTGATAAACATACCCAAGACTGGACAATTTACAAAAGAAAGAGGTTTAATGGACTTACAGTTCCACATTGCTGAGGAGGCTTACAATCATGGCGGAAGGTGAAAGACACATCTAACACAGTGACAGACAAGAGAAGAGAGATTGTGCAGGGAAATTCTCCCCTATAAAAGCATCAGATCTTGTGATACTTATTCAGTATCACGAGAACAGCATAGGAAAGACCTCCCCCCGTGATTCAATTATCTCCCACAGGGTCCCTCCCACAACACATGGGAATTCAAGATGAGATTTGGGTGGGGACACAGCCAAACCCCACGAGGGCACATACAAAGTTAGCCATTCTTTGACAACCTGGCAGCATGGCCATTCATGCATTTTAGTCTTAGAACAGAGATTGGAGCACCTGTTTTAGAGTGGGGTCAGGACCTCCACAAGCAGAACTGTGGGAAGTACCTCAGCAGTAGGCACTGGAATTGCGCTCTTCCCAGTCAAAGGGTTGGGGCAGGAGGAGAGCTACTACCACTGCAGTTTCTCCTGGGCAGTAAGGCTTGCAGGCAGGGCCAGTTTGGCAACATGAACTGATCCTCGCAAGACACTGTTGGGTGCCTCAGCCTGTTCCCGAGATCACAGTGCAGTGGAGTCCTCTCACTCCACCCAAGGGAGAAATCCAGGCATTCAGAGCACCCACTTGCCTGGGCCAGCAGCCTGAGCAGCCCCACTTTTCCTGGGCATACATTGTAGCACAGCAGGGCCCTCTCTGCTCCATTCCCAGGAAGATCTCCAAGCATTTGGGGCACCCACTTTCCTGGACCAGCAGCCTGCACCACCTCACCCATCATAGACATAGATTGTGGTGCAGCAGAGCCCTCTCCACTCCATATCCAGGCAGATCTCCAGGTATTTGGAACACCCACTCACCTGAATCAGTAGCCTGAACCACCCCACCCTATCCTGGACATAGACTGTGGTACAGCAAGACCCTCTCTGGTCCATGCCCAGGCAGATCTCCAGGTATTCGGAACACCCACTCACCTGAATCAGTAGCCTGAACCACCCCACCCTATCCTGGACATAGACTGTGGTACAGCAAGACCCTCTCTGGTCCATGCCCAGGCAGATCTCCAGGTATTCAGAGCACCTGCGCATTTAGTTCAACAGCCTGAGCTGGCACCATCCTTCCTGGATGTAGATCATGGTATGGTGAGATCCTCTCCACTACACACCCAAGCAGATCTGCAGACATTCAGGGAACCAGCTTGCCTCGATCAGCAGCTTATGCTGCCCCACCACCTTTCCCATGCAGATATCCTGGTGTAGGGGGACCCTTTCTGTTACATGCCCAAGCAGATCTCCAGACATTCAAAGCACCTGCTTGTCTGGTTCAGGAGCCTGAGTAACCTCATTCCTCTTGTGCAGAAATCTTGGTTAAAGGGGGTCTTCTCCACTTCACAGAGGCATATCTCAGACATTCAGAGATCCCACTCACCTGAATCAGCAGTCTGAGCCATCCACCCTTCCTGTGCAGAGATCCTGGGGCTGTGGGGGTTCTCCCTGTCACATGCCCAGGCAGATCTCCAGGCACTCAAAGCACCTGCATGCTTGGTGAGGCAGCCTGAGTTGCCTCACTCCTCCTGTGCAGAGGCCTTGGTATAGGTGGGTCCTCTCTGCTCCACGCCCATGCAGACCTCCAGGCACCTGGAGCGCCAACTCTATTAGATTAAGAATTTAGGCCACCCCGTTCCCCATGCAGGGAACTTAGGGCTGAAGGGGATTCCCAGCTCCATGCCTAGGCAAACTTCTGGGTACCTGGTAGCTGCCCATTGGATTCACCCTCAGCACTGGTATTTGTGCTTGCCATGAGTGAACCTTTTGCAGATTTGCCCAGTCCTTCTCACCAATCATGGCCCCATCCTCCTGGAGCTAAGCAGGGAGCTCAGACCACCGCCTGAGGCAACAGAGAGTTTCTGCCATTAAACAAGTATATACCCAGCAGCACTGGCTACAGCTGACTCTTATAAGCACCATCTACTGGCTTGTAGGTCAGATGCACAGCCCAATATAAAACCTGCTGAAAGAAGTGCACAGAACTATAGAAGCAAAACCAAAAGAATCTACCCAGCATTCTCTACAGTCACACCCCAACAGGGAGGAAAGAAAGGAAAAGAAAAAAACAATTATAGGCAAAGAAAAAAATTCTACCCACATGAAAATAATTACAAAAATTAGAAGTGCAACCATCTCCAGATGAGGAGAAACCAGGGAAAGAATTCTGGCACAATGAAAACTCTAAATGTAGTAATACCACCAAAGGATAGCATTAGCTCTCCAGCAACAGTTCCTAACTAAAATGTAAACTCAGAAATGACAGATGAAGAATTCAAAACATGAATTGCAGGGAAGATCAATGAGATCCAAGACAGAGTTGACAATCAACATAAAAGAAACTTCTAAAGCAATTCAGAAAATAAAAGAAGAAATAAACATATTCAAAAGAAATCAGAGCTTCTGGAACTGAAAAATCCACTTAAGGAATTTGAAAATACAATTGAAAGCTTTAGCAACAGATGGGACCAAACAGAAAAAAAGAATTTCAGGGCTTGAAAAATAGTCTTTGAATTAACCTGGTCAAACAAAAAAAAAAGAATTTTAAAAAATGAACAAAGTCGTTGAGAAATACGGGATTACATAAAAGAATCAAACCTATGAATTATTGGCATTCCTAAGAAGAAAAAGTAAATAACCTGGAAAACATATTTGAGGGAATAATTCAAGAGAATTTCCCTAACCTTGCTAGAAAAGTAAACATCCAGATACAAAAAAATCAAGAGAACTGCAAGATACTATCCAAAATGAAGATCGCCACAGCACATAGTCACAAGACTGTCCAAGGTTAATGCAAAACAAAACAAACAAACAAAAATACTTAAAGACAGAGAAAAAGGTTAGATTACATAATCACATACAAATGGAGCCATATCAGGGTTTGGACTTCTCAGCTGAAACCTGACAAGCCAGGAGAGATTGGGGACCTATTTCCAGCATTCTGAAAGAAAAGAAATTCTAAACAAGTGTTGCAGGAAGTCAGGGACCCCGAACGGAGGGACTGGCTAAAGCCACAGCAGAAGAACATAAATTGTGAAGATTTCATGGACATTTATTAGTTCCCCAAATTAACACTTTCATAATTTCTTACACCTGTCTTTACTGCAATCTTTGAACATAAATTGTGAAGATTTCATGGACAGTTATCACTTCCCCAATCAATACTCTTATAATTTCCTATGCATCTTTAATCTCTTAATCCCATCATCTTCGTAAGCTGAGGATGCATGTCGCCTCAGGACCCTGTGATGATTGCGTTAACTGCACAGATTGTTTGTAAAACATGTGTGTTTGAACAATATGAAATCTGGGCATCCTAAAAAAGAACAAGATAACAGTGATTTTCAAGGAACAAGGGAGATAACCATAAGCTCTGACTGACTGCAGGGCTGGGCAAAACAGTATCATATTTCTCTTCTTGCAGAAAGCAAATAGGAGAAACATCACTTAATTCTTTTCCCAGCAAGGAATAACCTTGGGAAAGGAATGCATTCCTAGGAGGAGGTCTCTAAAATTGCCGCTCTGGGAGTATCTGCCTTATGCAGTTGAAGACAAGGGATGAAATATGCCCTGGTCTCCTCCAGTGCCCCTCAGGCTTGCTAGGATTAGGAAATTCCAGCCTAGTGAATTCTAGTCAGACTGGTTGTCTGCTCTCGAACCCTACTCCCTGTTAAGATGTTTATCAATGACAATGCGTGCTCAGCGGGACATGGAAACTCAGTAATTCTAATTTCGCCCTGGCCTTGTGATCTTGCTCTGCCTCTTTCCCCTTGTGATCTTTTATGCCCTTTCAAGCATGTGATCTTTGTGACTCACTCCCTGTTTGTACCTCCCTTCCCCTTTTGAAATGCCTAATAAAAACTTGCTGGTTTTGTGGCTCAGGGGGCATCATGGAACCTGCCAATACATGATGTCACCCCAGGAGTCCCAGCTGTCAAATTTCTCTCTTTGTACTCTTTCTCTTTATTTCTCAGACTGGCCGACACTTAGGGAAAATAGAAAAGAACCTATGTTGAAATATTGGGGGCTGGTCCCCCGATAACCAAGAATTTCATATCCTGTCAAACTAACCTTCATAAGCAAAGGAGAAATAAAACATTTTCCAGACAAGCAAGTGCTAAGGGAATTCGTTCCCTTTAGATGAGCCTTACAAGATACCCTTGAGAGAGTTCTAAACATAGAAACTAAAGAATAATACCTGCTACCACAAAAATTAGAGATCCTAGGGTAGGGAGATTCTCTCTGCCACATGCCCAGGCACATCTCCAGCCATTCAAATCACCTGCATGCTTGGTTCGGCAGCCTGAGTTGCCTCATTCCTCCTGTGCAGAGGCTTTGGCATAGGCGGGTCCTCTCTGCTCCATGCCCAGGCAGACCTCCTGGACACACTTAAGTACATAGGCCAATATCCTTGGTGAACACAGATTCAAATATCCTCAACAAAATACTAGCAAACTGAATCCAACAGCACATCAAAAACTTAATATCACGATCAAGTAGGCTTTATTCCTGGGATGAAAGATTAGTTCAATATACACAAGTCAATAAATGTGATTCACAACGTAAATAGAATTAAAAACAAAAGCCATATGATCATCTCAACAGACGAGGAAAAAGCGTTCAGTAAGATCCAATATCCTTTCACGATAAAAACCCTAAAGAAATTAGGCATCAAAGAAATGTACCTCAAAATAATAAGAGCATCTATGACACAGCCAAAATCATACTGAATGGACATAAATTGGAAGGCTTTCCCCTGAGAACTGGAACAAGACAACGATGCCCACTCTGGATTGCCAGAGGAATCCAGCAAGAGAAAAAAGTAAAAGGCAACAAAACATGAAAAGAAGAAGTCAAACTACCTCTCCTACAGACTATATGATTTTATACCTAAAGAACTGTAAAGACTCTGCCAAAAGGCTCCTGGAATTGATAAATGACTCCAGTAAAGTTTCCAGATACAAAGTCAGTGTACAAAATTCAGCAGCATTTGTATACACCAATAACATTCAAGGTGAGAGCAAATCAAGAACACAATCCCATTTACAATAACCACACACAATCTATGGGTCCAAGATGGCCAAATAGGAACAGCTCCAGTCTACAGCTCCCAGCGTGAACACCACAGAAGATGGGTGATTTCTGCATTTCCAACTGAGGAATGCAGCTCCCCGCCAGCAACGGAACAAACCTGGACAGAGAATGACTTTGATGAGTTGAGAGAAGGCGGCTTCAGAAGATTGATAATAACAAACTTCTCCGAGCTAAAGGAGGATGTTTGAACACATCGCAAAGAAGTTAAAAACCTTGAAAAAAGATTGGACGAATGGCTAACTAGAATAAACAGCACAGAGAAGACCTTAAATGACCTGATGGAGCTGAAAACCATGGCACGAGAACTACGTGACACACGCACAAGCTTCAGCTGATTCCATCAAATGGAAGAAAGGGTATCAGTGACTGAAGATCAAACGAATGAAATGAAGCGAGAAGTTTCGAGAAAAAATAGTAAAAAGAAATGAACAAAGCCTCCAAGAAATATGCAACTAAGTGAAAAGACCAAATCTACATCTGATTGGTGTACCTGAAAGTGACAGGGAGAATTGAATCAAGTTGTAAAAACACTCTGAAGGATATTATCCAGGAAAACCTCCCCAACCTAGCAAGGCAGGCCAACATTCAAATTCAGGAAATACAGAGAACGCCACAAAGATACTCCTCGAGAAGAGCAACTCCAAGACACAAAATTGTCAGATTCACCAAAGTTGAAATGAAGGAAAAATGTTAAGGTCAGCCAGAGAGAAAGGTCGGGTTACCCACAAAGGGAAACCCATCAGTCTAACAGTGGATCTCTCGGAAGAAACTCTACAAGCCAGAGAGTGGAAGCCAATATTCAACATTCTTAAAGAATTATCAACCCAGAATTTCATATCCAGCAAACTAAGCTTCATAAGTGAAGGAGAAATAAAATCCTTTACAGACAAGCAAATGCTGAGAGATTTTGTCACCACCAGGCCTGCCTTACAAGAGCTCCTGAAGGAAGTACTAAACATGGAAAGGAACAACCAATAATCGCCACTGCAAAAACATGCCAATTGTAAAGACCATCAATGCTAGGAAGAAACTGCATCAACTAATGAGTAAAATAACCAGCTAACATCATAATGACAGCATCAAATTCACACATAACAACATTAACCTTAAATGTAAATTGGCTAAATGCTCCAATTTAAAGACGCAGACTGGCAAATTGGATAAAGAGTCAAGACCCATCAGTGTGCTGTATTCAGGAGACTCATCTCACGTGCAGAGACAAACATAGGCTCAAAATAAAGGGATAGAGGAAGATCTACCAAGCAAATGGAAAACAAAAAAAAGCAGGGGTTGCAATCCTAGTCTCTGATAAAACAGACTTTAAACCAACAAAGATCAGAAGAGACAAAGAAAGCCATTACATACTGGTAAAGGGATCAATTCAACAAGAAGAGCTAACTATCCTACATATATATGCACCCAATACAGAAGCACCCAGATTCATAAAGCAAGTCCTTAGAGACTTAACAAAGAGACTTAGACTCCCACACAATAATAATGGGAGACTTTAACACCCCACTGTCAACATTAGACAGATCCACGAAACAGAAAGTTAACAAGGATATCCAGCAACTGAACTCAGCTCATTGAGCACATATACCCTAGAACTTAAAGTATAATAAAATAAATAAATAAATAAATAAATAATTTAAAAAAAACAACCACACACACACATACACACACACACACACACACACACACACAAAAATACCTGGGAATACATCCAACCAAGGGGGCAAAAGATCTCTACAAAGAGAACTATAAAACACTGTTAAATCATAGATAACACAAAGAGATTTAAGAAATATTTCATGCTCATGGACTGGAAGAATCGACATTGTTAAAATGGCCATACTGCCCAAAGCAATCTACAGATTCAACACTATTCCTATCAAACTACCAATGTCATTTTTCATGGAACTAAAAAAAAACTATTTAAAAACTCATATGGAACCACAGAAGAGCCTGAATTGCCAAAGCAATCCTTTGAAAAAAGAAGTCAGAGGTACCATATTACTTGACTTCAATCTATTTTATAAGGTTATAGTAACCGAAACAGCATGGTGCTGGTACAAAAACAGACACATAGACCAATGGAACAAAATACAGAACCCAGAAATAAAGCCATAGACCTACAGCCATCTGATCTTTGACAAAAATCAACAAAAATAAGCAATGAGAAAATGACTCCTTATTCAATAAATGGTGCTAGGATAGCTGGCTAGGCATATGCAAAAGAATGAAACTGGAACACCCACCCTCTTCACCATATACAAAAATTAACTCAAGATAGATTAAAGATTTCAATGTAAGACCTTAAGCCATAAGAATCCTAGAAGAAAACCTAGGAAACACCATTCTGGATATCAGCCTTGGGAAAGAATTATCACCATTCAACCCAGCAATCCCATTACTGGGTATATATCCAAAAGAAAACAAATTGTTCTCCCAAAAAGACACATGCACTCACATGTTCATCCCAGTACTATGCACAATAGCAAAGATATGGAATCAACCTAGATAGATGCTCATCAACAGTGGATCAGATAAAGAAAATGTAGTGCATATACACCAAGGAATATTATATAGCCATTTAAAAAGAACAAAATTAATTCCTTTGCTGCAGCATGGATGCAGCTGGAAGCTATTATGGCAAGCAAATTAACATAGGAACAGAAAACCAAGTATCACATTTTTTTACTTAGAAGTGGGAGCTAAACACTGGGGACTCATGGACCTAAAGATGGGAAAAACAGAAACTGGGAACTACTAGACAGGAGAGGAGAACAAGGGCTGAAAAACTATTGAGTACTATGCTCAGTACCAGGGTGACAGGATTATTCATATCCCAAACCACAGCACTACACAATATACCCAGGTAATAAACCTGTACATATACCCCCTAAATTTAAAATAAAAGCTGAAAACAATTTTAACAAGTGAGAGAAGATCCTGAAGCATTTTCAAAGAATTGTAATAGGAGTAATAGGAGATGAAACATAACTTTTCCAGTATGATCTTGAAGACAAAGTACAATCAAAGCAATGGCTACCAAGAGGTGGAAGTGGTCCAGTCAAAGCAAAAGTGGACTGGTCATGGCAACAATCTTTTAGATGTTCAAGGCATTTTGCTGATTGATTTTCTGGAGGGCCAAAGAATGGTAACATCTGCTTACTATCAGAGTGTTTTGAGAAAGTTAGTCAAAGTTATAGCAGAAAGATGCCCAAGAGAGCTTCACCAGAGTCCTTCTCCACCACAACAATGTTCCTGCTCATTTCTCTCATCAAGGGCAATTTTGTAAGTTTCCATGAAAAATCATTAGGCATACACCTTGCAATCCTTATTTGGCTCCTTCAGAATTATTTGTTGGCAATCTTAAAAAAATATTTAAAAAGCATCCATTTTTCTTCAGCTAATAATGTAAAAAAGACTGCATTGACATGGTTAAATTCCCAGCACCCTCAGTTCTTTAAGGATGAACTAAATGGCTGGTATCATCCCTAATAAAAGTGTCAACTTGATGCAGCTTATGTTGACAAGTAAAATAAAATCTATAGTTTTATCTCATATAAAAAGTTGTTAATGTTTACAAATGTCTTTGGCTACAGTTAGTAGAACCAATACTGAATAGGGTTAGCACAAGTATGTGTTTTTCAATGACTCTCTTTGCAAGCTATCCTACTGGGCTTTATTTTAGTCATTTCATTTTCCTTCCTTTTCTTTTCCTTTTTTTTTTTTTTTTTTTTTTTGAGATGGAGTCGTCTTCTGTTGCCCAGGCTGGAGTGCAGTGGCGCAATCTTGGCTCACTGCAAGCTCCACCTCCCGGGTTCACGCCATTCTCCTGCCTCAGCCTCCCAAGCAGCTGGGACTACAGGTGCCTGCCCCCATGCCCGGCTAATTTTTTGCACTTTTAGTAGAAAAGGGGTTTCACCGTGTTAGCCAGGATGGTCTCGATCTCCTGACCTCATGATCCGCCCGCCTCGGCCTCCCAAAGTGCTGGGATTACAGGCACGAGCCACCACACCCAGCTCATTTTAAGAAAAATAAAAGTTGAAAGTAACCTCTTACAGCAGATTTCACCTTTTAGTGAATGTAAGAATCAACAAGTTTGCTGAAAATGCATATTTCCAAACCTCAACATAATAATTTGATTTCAGCAGATCTGGAGTAGAGTGCAAGGATCTACACTTAATAACAATGCACTAAAGCCCAACTTCCTCCTGAGAATTCCACTAAAAGCTGCTCTTCAGCAATATCCTATGGAAGGCCAATCAGCTAAATGACTACATCATAATCTCTGGCCTCACTGCACCTGAAAATAAGTGACCACATGCTTGGCCCCCCTATACACACAGTATGGATTTGTTGCTGGGAAGTGGTTGTCCACCCAGGGATTACAATACCCAGCCCACCATACATCTAGGTATCGGCATGAAAGAGGTTCACACCAATAGAATGTGAGCAAAAGTGGTGTGTATCATATATAAGCCAAGATTTTTCAGAAGAAGCTGTACCTTCTCTAAGCTGTCTTTCTCTTTTGTCTCATGGTTAGATACAAATAACAATAAAACCCTAAGAAATTACAAAGGCCCCAAACAGAGGAGAAACAAATCTCTGAATTATTTCACAGAGAACGGCCTACCAACTATGAACATTTGCTTCAGAATGTTAAATGAATAAAAATGAACTTCTATTAGGTAAAGTCACTAAATTTGGGGGTTACTTATAAGCATCATCCTAATATATCAGGCATGTGTGTATATAAACAACTGTTTAACTGCATATACATGTATATATTCATTTAATCAACAAAATGTATTGAAAATCCATTATATGCTCAAGATACAATCATGAGCAAAACCATACGCAATCCTTATCCTCATGAATCTCAGAATTATTGAAGCATGTGTGTATAAATGTAGGTTTTTCTATGTGGAGTACTTGAACAGGGTAGGGTAGACAATGAAATAATATAAATGAGTAAGTAGAACTTTCACTTCCAATTAAGATAGAGGAATAGGGATTAGATTTACCACCTGTCTGACACAATTAAAACTCTGAAAAAATATAAGGAACAACAATGTGAAGCATTTGATATTAGGCAATAAAAGACAGTGATCCCCCAGAAATGAAAAATAAAAGGTGTACCCCAGATTTGCCCCAGCTTATTATCTGAAGAGATGAAACAGTTATTAGAAACAAAACATTTATTAAACTGTATCCCAACATATTAAGCAGAGCCAAGTAAAATATAAAAAAGATCCAAATCAAACTTCGAGATGAAAACTACAATGTCTAGTTTAAAAATATACTGTATGAGATTAACAGATTAGATATTTCAGAAGTAAAGAGTAGTGACTTTGAACACATAGGAATAGAAACTATCCACAATGCAACAGAGAGAGGAAAAAAGGATTTTAAAATGAAAGACTATAACACCAGTGAGCTGTGAGATAAGTTTAAGCCATCTAATGTACACGTAATAGGAATCCAGAGGAAAGAAGAGACAGAGGAAGAATGGAAAACTTTTTGAAGATATAAAGGTCAAAATTTCCCAAATTTTATGAAAACTAACAACCTACAGCTTCAAGAAGCTCAACAAATCCCAAGCATAAGAAAGCTGAAGAAAACGATACCAAAGCAAATCATAATCACATGGCTTATGCCAGTGAAAGAGGACTCTCATAAGCAGCCAGAGAGAAAAGACCTAACATGCAGAGGAACAAAGGTAAGGGTAACAGCAGACTTCTTGTGAGAAACAATGTACATGCTTGAAGACACTGAAGAAACATCTTTACAGTACTGAAAGAAAAAAAAAAGATCAATCTTAAATTCTTTACTCAGTGAAAATATCTTTCAAAACACAGATATACGAAAGCTAAAAGAATTTATCACCATCAAACATGCACAACAAAAATGTAAAAGGATGTCCTTCAAGCCAAAGGAAAAATGATACCAGTTGGAAATCTGGATCCACATGAAGAAATAAATACCAAAGGAATGAACACACAGATGCCCATGTAGCTAACATTTCTGGTGTTTATCTATGTAAAGAAATATGATTCTTTGTTATTATTTAAATCTCTTTAAAAGATAACACTGTTTAATGCAAAAAAAATAGTGTCTTGTGGGGTTTAAACACACAAAGAAGTAAAACATACAACACCTGGCCGGGCGCGGTGGCTCACGCCTGTAATCCCTGCACTTTGGGAGGCCGAGGCGGTGGCGGATCACGATGGGTCAGGAGATCGAGGACCATCCTGGCTAACACGGTGAAACCCCGTCTCTACTAAAATACAAAAAATTAGCCAGGCGCGGTGGCGGGTGCCTGTAGTCCCAGCTACTCGGGGGCTGAGGCAGGAGAATGGCGCAAACCCGGGAAGCGGAGCTTGCAGTGAGCCGAGATCGCGCCACTGCACTCCAGCCTGGGCAACAGAGTGCAGACTCTGCCCAAAAAAAAAAAAAAAAAAAAAAAAAACAAAACATACAACAACTATTACACAAAAACTGGGGGGGGGGGGGGTAAATAAAAGTATACTTTTGTGAGGTCTGTACACCAGATATAAAGTAATATATCGCCGGAAGGTAGACAAGTGATAAGTTAAATATGTCTACTATAAACCCTAAAGCAATCACTAAATTAACACAACAAAGATAAAAGCCACAGGAAGATGAAATTGTTTTAAAAGTATAGAATTAATTCAAAAGAAAGGATTCAAAAAGGAAAAAGGAACAAATGAGACAAATGGAAAACAAACAGTAAGATGCTAAATTTAAACCAAACTATATCATTATCCATTAAATGTAAATAGTCTAAACACCAATTAAAAGACAGAGATAATTACACAGGATCAAAAGAACAAGACCTAACTATACACTATCTATAGGAAATGGGTATTAAATAGGAAGACACAAACAGTTAACCAAGTAAGTGAAAAGTATAGAAAATGGCCTCTCAAGATAATAAGACTAAAGAAAATGGCTGTTGACATAGTTTTGATTCACAAGTTGTCACAATTCAGGAAGTATTTTTATATTCAAGAGTCCTTTTTAAGCCTTGAGATCTAAGTAAATACTAATACTATCTTACACTCTTCATAAAAGTCACCACATATATGTGTTCACACACCAACATTTCAATTATCTCAACAGTATCTCTAAACATAGCAAATTAGAGATTTCAAAAGAAATTCTCAAGTGAGCTAAGAGATTAGCAATCCATTCTGATCAATAACCACATGTTCTCAAAGATGGATATATATACATTCAAAATTTTACCTCTATATAATGTGTGATTTTACTAAAATACTGTCTATTAAGACAACAAAGTCTGAGTCAGATGACAGAAACAAAATGCAACCACATCTCACCACATCCTTTTCCTTTGGGAAGGAACTGGGGATTAAAAAAATGAATATACTATGCTCATGAGAGACAAGTATGCTAGGGAAAGGGTGGGAATATATGTTTGTGAAATGTCACAGTAGGCTGGAAATTACACCTATAAATGTTTGCCCTACCTTCTCAATTTTCTAAATGTGAATTGGTATTTCACCTAGTTTGTCAGGTTTATATATGCAGTTTTTCATATTATTCCATTATGCTTTTGATCTGAGTCTCCAGTGACATCCTACATTTCACTCCTACTACTAATAATCTGTCTTCTTTTTGTGAGTCTTGCTAGAGGTTTGCAATTTTATTAATCTTCTTGAAGAACCAACATTTTGTCTCATTCATTTTCTCTATCTTTTCTGTTATCAATTTCATTGATTTTTGCTCTTTATTATTTCCTTCCTTCTACTTGCTCTGGTTTTACTTTGCTCTTCTTTTTATAGCTTCTTAAAGCGGGAGCTTAGATTGTCCATTTGAGACTTTTCCTGTTTTCTAATGTATGCATTTCATTCTATAAATTTCCCTCTGAAATTTAACTGCAGACTCAGAAAAAGAATAAGATATGGCCACAAGTTTGGAAATAAATAGCAGAAACTTTAAAGATGACCAAATGGGAAACACAATAATTTACCAAGAAAAGAAAATTATCCAAGGTAAGAAACAGAAAATATTCAAACTCAGCTTAAATTCCTCAAAACAAAATGACTTAGACTGAATGACTTCAAGTAAATAACCATCTAGTCAGCCATGTAATAAGGAGGGAAAACCCTGCATGTGGAATATGGCTCACTCAATCTGCATTACAGATAATACAAGACAGGGAGCAGGCAATGCAGTGGGGCACAGAAGAGTTAACAGAACCACATTTTTCCAGTTAGTAGTCTTAAATGAACTTCTTTACTACCCAACCAATTTCACGGATTCCTAAATGCTGCCTAACAGGAGCTGAGGCTGGGCATATGTGAAGGATAAATGTACAACTGTCATGAATTCATTTCTGTAGGTTGCCCCACCCCATGGAGATATATTAATTTCTAATATATGGAAGAATAAAATATCTTCTTTCTTACCCTCTGAGCTTTTGCGAGTTCTTCTTTTAATCGTTCATAGCCCTTTTCTCTAACTTCCAAAACAGATGGGCTTCGTAAACGAGACAGACTATCAGTACTCAACCCAAAAATATCATCACTGCCATCGCAAGCCTCTGTTATAGTAGCACCCTGTAAAAACTCTCTCTCTGCATTATAGTTGTCCTTTCTTGTAGTTAATTTAGTTAATCCAGCTGTGACTCCAGAGGTAGAACAAGGTGCTGGGTCTGTAACATGAAAGCTGTAAAGGACAAAGACAATTTTTAGAAAATATCACCATATGCTCCAATAGAACTGGCTTAAAACACAGCTCTAGAACTGTGCTACCCAATTTGGTAGCTTTCATATTTAAATAAATAGTATGTCCTCAGTCATAGCCACATTTCAAGTGCTCAGTAGCTACATGTGGTTAATATCTATCATTCACATTAGATAGCACAAAAAATAGAACATTTTCATCAACAGAGAAAGTTCTACAGGACGGTGCTACTCAAGAGCAGGGGTTAACAAATTATAGCCTGCAGGCTAAATGAAGCCTTCCACCTGTTTTTATAAGGCATCAATGAGCCAAGTACAGTTTTTACAATTTCAGATAGTTGAAAAGAAATCTTTAAGAGTATTTTGCGACAAATGAAAATTAAATGAAATTCAAAATTCTGCATCCATATATGAAGTTCTATTGGAACACAGCCACTCTAATTCATTTACATACTGCCTATGGCTGCTTTCAAACTCTAAAGGCAGTGTTGAATAGCTGCAACAGAGACTGTATGGCTAGCAAAGCCTAAAATACTATCTGGTCCTTCACATAAGAAGTTTGTCAACCCTATTCCAGAACATTATCATGTATTTCTTTACACAGGCACACTTAAGTTACTCAAATTTTCTAAAAATAGTAAAACTTAAAATACAGTAACTAAGCGAACTGTCCATTAAAAAAAATAATCCAAAATAAGTGATTTACTTATTTCCTACCTGATACTAGATATTTCCGCACAATTTAAACGTCTGGGGGATGAATACACAGGTTGTGTAGGAAGTTCAGAAACATCTAATGCATTTGCCTGGATAGGTACAGAGGATAAAGCTGAAGGGTGTGGCCGGTAGATGACACTTGGTGAGGTAATCTGCTCTTGAGTTCCTGATTCATACACACCAAGAAGGTCCGGAGAAGTAGGTGAAGCAAGGTTTACTTCATGGAAGCCTTCCAGGGGATCATTAGCCATAGCAAAAGCCTCATCATAAGATAACCTATGTTAAAACAAAAATCAGATACTTATTTTTAAATAACATTTAAAACTAAATTAAAATGTATAAATTATAAAATGTGTTTAACAGTCCATTGTAAATTACAAGCTTACAATAAAAGAGCCTTTTAAAAAAACCACTATCACATGGTGGTATATGCCTACAGTACCAGCTGCTCGGGAAGATGAGGTGGGAGGATTGCTTGAGCCCAAATGGAGGCTGCAGTGAGCCGTGATCGCAACCCTACACTCCAGCCTAGGTAACAGGGCAAGACCTTGTGTCCACTCAAAAAACAAAAACAAAAACAAACCACCACAATCACTTAACATTTACTAAGCGATCTCAGAGTATAACTACTATAAAAGGCAAACAATCTGATTTAGAAGAAACCTGAAAGTGATAAGCAATTATGTTAAAGTGAGAATAATCAATTAGTATGAGGAATGAATAAAAATTGGCTTAATTTTTAAAAATATTTTAAAATTATTAAATGTTTATATTAAAATAAATTCTTTATTTGTATGTAAAATAAATATTACATATATTTTGTAAAATATATAAAACATATTTTATACATATTTATTTATATAAAATTTATTTATTATATATATTTATTTATAAAATAAAATCTCTTTAATATAAAATAAATTTATATTAAAATTTAATTCTGTCATTAAATATGAAAATACTAAAAACAAAATCTAACAGTATTATGCAATCTTAGATTCAATAACAATTATACTATGCTGTGAAACTCTTAAAACAATTTTTTAACAGAGAACATTGTATTTATCATGTACAACATGTTTGAAGGCACATACACACTGTGAAATGGCTAACTAGCTAATTAACAAATCATTACCTCATGCCATTATTTTGTGATGAGAACACTCAACATCTACTCTCTGCATTTTTCAAGTATTTACAATATATCATCAGGACCTACAGTCATCCCGCTGTACCACAGATCTCTTGAATATATATTTAACTTTGTGATGATACATGACCTTGGTTAGAGTAAGTAGAAAGGCAGTAAAGACACACACTCTCTCATACCTGTCACCCAGATTATGAAACTATTAACATTTTTGAGCCATTTGAGAATGTTCAAACATAATGCCCACTTAATATCTCAATGTATACATATACTGTGTGTGTGTGTGTATCTGTGTATGTGTGTATCCTAAGTACAAGGACATTCTCCTATCTAACCACAAAATCATCATCAAAATTTGGAAGTTAACATTGATCAAAATTACCATCTAATCAACAGGCCCCATGCAAATTTCACTAATTGTTCCAACAATATCCTTTATATGTACAGGATCCAATCCTGGATAATGTGTTTCATATCTATAAGCCTTAAACTTCTCCTCTGATGAGATTAGAATGGGGATAACACTAGCCCCTCCCTTGTCCTGTTTGCTGTGAAGACTGAAGGAGACAATCCATGTAAAGTATTTTGTAGAGTACTATCTACCTGACACAGAGTATGGCCTCAATAAACATGAATTATCATAGCAGAGGCACTAACAATACCACATATGCTTCAGGTTCTCCATAAGCAAAAAACAGTTCATGTAACTATTCAATTACATCACAAAGTTTACATGGAAACTAACAAGTGAACCACTCAAGTTTTTCCTCTGAAGAATTCAAAGCTAAATGGTATCTTACAAATTCTTTATTGATTTTCCACTGTCTGCTGGATAGAGACCAAACTTGTTAGCCAAAAAAATAAGGTCTTCTAGGATCTGAACCCAATCTCTCTTTCCAATTTTTTTTCCTTCCTATGATAGCACTTAGACAGTTGTGGATAATATCTTCCCGGAACTTAAAAAATGCCAAACAGGCCAGGCTTGGTGGCTCACACTATAATCCCAGCACTTTGGGAGGCCGAGGTGGGCAGATTGAGGTCAGAAGTTCAAAACCAGCCTGGCCAACATGGCGAAACCCTGTCTCTACTAAAAATACAAAAATTAGCTGGGCATGGTGGCCCATGCCTGTAATCCCAGCTACTCAGGAGGCTGAGGCAGGAGAATCATTTGAACCCCAGGAGGCAGAGGTGGCAGTGAGCTGAGACACTGTACTTCAGCCTGGGCAAGAGACTGAGATTCCATCTCACAAAAAAAAAAAAAAAAGCCAAACAAAACAACATAGCACATCCTTTCTTCCAAAAGATAGAGAAGTATTCGTTTGTTAAACTAGCTAAAAAATTTAACTCTCAAATCCTTAATAAAAAGTGTTAAAAATAATACAAGTAGAAAATAAAAACAAAAAAGATTTCAGTAAAGTTGAAAGAGATCTAACTCAGTATCATTTCAAAATTACAAATTAGGGGGGAGGGGGGAGGGATAGCATTAGGAGATATACCTAATGTAAATGATAAGTTAATGCATGCAGCACACCAACATGGCACATGTATACATATGTAACAAACCTGCACATTGTGCACATGTACCCTAGGACTTAAAGTATAATTTAAAAAAGCCCAACATTAAAAAAAAAAATACAAATTAGTATGTGTCACAGACTTTCCAGCATATAGACAACCCAAAGTGCAACAATTAAATCTACAAATGACAAATTTCAAATCCAATAAGCTATTTATTAATAGTAAGTGGTTTATTCTTCAAAATGAAACTAGTCCTTGTTTTTTTCATATAAAATATTCACTATGCCAAATGAAAGATGAGATTAATAAGGAATGTAAGGTGTTTAATACTCCATTAAAATTTATTGTTTTTTCACCCCAAAGAATTTTCATTTTTTATTCATAATCCATATACCTACATATACCAAGAAAACAGCTATATTCAAAGTACATAATTCATTTTCACTTGAATATAGTTCAGGCAAGTACACTAACCAATTCATTACCATAAAAAAACCTTTGTATTAGGTTTGCATTCAACTTTGACATTTTAATCAGTAACTATTTATGATTCTTTCTTCTATCCCATGTACTATGAATTCACCTCTCTATATCCTGAAGGTTCGCTGAATCATGAAATGTAAAAGCATTTGCATTTCTGGAAATACAAAACAGTACAAATCCTATGAAGGAAAATTTAGCAATAACTACAAAATGATGTTAAACCTGTGACCAAGCATGCCACTCCTGGGGCTTTATCCTAAAGATAAACTGGCAACATGAAAAGCAGCACTCTTTGTAATAGCAAAACACTGATTTAATGAACCAGGGTACATCCTCATAATGAAGCACTGCACAGATGTAAAATACATATCCATACATCGCTATGAAGTGACCTTGAAGATATACCAGTAAGTTAAAAAACAGGATAAATAACAGTAAACTACCTTTTATCTAAAAAAGGAGAATAAAAATACAAATATACATATATATATATAACTTTTTATAATAGAAAGGCTGGGTTCAGTGGCTCACACCTGTAATCCCAAAAACTTGACACACAGAGGCAGGAAGCCAGCTTGTGGCCAAGACTTAAAGACCAGCCTGGGCAACATAGTGAGACCCTGTCTTTACCAAACGTTGTAAAATTAGCTGGGTGTGATGGTGCAGGCCTATAGTCCTAACCACTTGAAAGGTTAAGATGGGAGGATGGCTTGAGCTGAGGAATTTGAGGTTACAGTGAGCTTTGATCATACCACTGCACTCCAGCCTGGGTGAAAGAGCAAGACCCTGTCTCAAAAAAAAAAAAAAAAAAAGAACAAAAGGAAAAAATGGTTACCTACAGAAGGAGAGAAGACACAGTGAAAAATATGAAAGCTAGACTTTTTTCTGAAAGTACCTTGCTTTACAGATTTGATTTTGAGCTTGCAACCATGTAAACAATAAAAATTAAAGTTTAAAAAAGAACCCCTAAACATAAAGCAAATAAACTTGTGTATTGAGATGGTAGCTTAACCACACAGAAATGAACTACTTCAAGTGATTTTAAAACACAACAATACAAATATGTATCCCCAACGGAATGTATTCTAAAAGCAAAAGGAAGTGAAAAAAGTCATAAACTATTTTCACTGTTAATAATAGTAGCAATATTGATACTGTTATTCTGAAACTTTGTATAAGATGAAGCAAGTAAATTATGCTAATGTCATTTGGATCTAAGATTTTCAGCATATTAGAAAAAATACAAATATAAAATCAAAGAATTTAAATCCTAGAGGCCTAAATTTGACTCAGAAACACCAGAAAAAAAATTCTAACTTTATCCAATGAAAAGGCATAGCAACACTGACCAATTCAGGAGTAATAAGCACCCATGTGCTCAGAGTAATACCACGTCCTCCAAAAAAGAACACAGGCTCCCTGGGAAAATGGCTGATTCCAGCCTGGGACAGAAACGGACGAAAGGACCCTGGAACATCTTGTTATACCAGAAAGCAAGTACACTATCAAAAACTACTGGACTGGTATCAAAAGGACTCCCACTAACCAAAAACAGGACAATCTGAACATCAAAAAGGATAATATCTGCAAAGAACTGAAAGGCAAATATTTTTAAATCCATGAGGTCACAATGACACTAAAAATAAAGCAAAGTCCCTCACTGGCCTTCTTTGATCAATGCTATGGAACCAATTCATTATTTTCAAAACTGGTAAATAAAATGAAAGAATGAAGTATTTTATCTGGCTTTCCTGTACATCAAGGAACTGAACAGCTCATGAGAAAAAGTTCTTTTTAGCAGAATTCCATTTAATAAATATAACTTTGGAATCCTAATGAAATAATGGATTTAGGGCAGTAATTATTTAAATAGCTATTAAAACCGTAAGGTAAAAGGTTGTTTGAGGAACTTTACAGTTAATCAATCAGAACGACAGTACCTGAACTCACTGATCACATCTTGTCACAAAAAGGGAGACAATCAAACATTATGTATATTATGTGGCAAATAAGAAATGATCATCACTGCCATTAATGAAGCATTCTGGCCCCTCTAAGAAAAAAAAAAGAAAGACCCCAAACCAAACAAGCCTCTTGATGGTCATCAGTTTACAGTAAATACAGA